AATGCTCATCTTTAAATCAAAATCTCTACTCTCACCCAGCCAAAATGTTCAATGCCGCAATCTATTAACATGGTTATCCACAACAAGCATTTACTCATCTGATCACAAGCAATACCCACATACCAAATACATCAAACACAGACGAAGAAAATTTAACTTCAATGTCACCAACCCAAATGAAATTGAGCAACCACAGATCCATTTTCGGAAACATTCAGCGAATTCTTTTCAGATAAATAATGGTTCTAGAACTAATTAAACATCTCCAAACCAAACGATGAATCAACAAAAAAACAGTAACAAACAATCCAAGAAGGCAAACCAGCTTCTCGTCTCAAAGACTCCAAACCCACATCAAATAAACCGATAACAGTAAAGCCAAACATCAACAACTTCAAACTCTATGCATATTTTCTAATGTGATCCCACAAACAATTAACTTATATGAACACAAAGCAAACCAACAACAGCACATAAAGATACCACTACATTAACATTAAAAAGAACACAATATCTATGCAAGAAACAAACCAAGTAAATAACAAAGTTTCTTTATAACAGTGCTAACTAACCTCCATGGAACTACCTGGAATGTCAAATCCCAACGTGAAATGCACAACCTGGACAAAAGGGCCACCATGTTATATATGCTCCATATAATTTAACTTAAAACATCAAAAGAAAGAAAAGAAAACAAAAGTACCAAGAAAAGAAAAAGGAAAGAAGAGAAGAGAGAAGGTACCTTACCTTGTTGATGAGGATGGTCTTTGCTTTAAAGGGTTTGTGTTTTAGGGAAAAATCAAGAAAGGAGAAGCAAATAGTTTGTCATGGTATGGGAAAAGAGAAGGGGTCGAGAGGAAGGAGAGAAAACAGTGTTCTGCGTTCTCTTAACAAGTTTTTTATTTTTTATTTTCTTGCCTCTAGTAAAGAAAGACTTTATGTTAATGGCACACGAAATATATTTTCAAGCAAGCAAAGCTTGAGCAACCAATTCTTTTTAATACTAAAATAACCCATATATATATATATACCCATATATAATAATAATAATAATAATAATAAAAGAACCCGTTAATGTAGTGTTTGTGGAATAATTTCTTTGTAATTGTTTTGATATATACATATTTTTTCTTTTTTCTTTTTTTTTAAGTGATAGTAGTTATGGATATTATGATAAACCTCTCTTTCATGGGTATTTTTGCATCGAATTTACCACAATTTTAAACTTCTTGTTTTCGTTAAAAATTGAAAAAATGTATTAAATAATAAAAATTCTGATACCGTAATTTAGTTGAATTATTATATTTGAAAAGTTTGGCATCCACGCTTAAATTAAGTTAGATCTATGGGTTTTAATACTTTTTTTTTTTTTAATGCCAAACAATAAAGATGTGTTCGTATGTTTTCACTAACTTCAAAATTAACTTTATAGACTTAATTAAGAAGTATTTCCTAACTCATAATATTAAATATTCTAAGAATAAATTTTTAGAACTATGGATTATAAATATCGAACCCTGCTGAACTGGTTAGTTTATATATTTTTTTATGCTTTATATTAACCTCATCAAAACTCGATAAAATTTAATTACTCTAAAAAAAGCAAATTTAGAATTTAAATGCTGCAAATTAGTAAAAGAAAAAATTGTATTCGGACCAGCTGGCTTACCGTTACTTGTTGGTAAATAAAAGTGAGATTTTGGTTGTTATTGTGTGACCCAGTCAGCGAGATGCAGAGAAAAAGAAAAAGAAAAAGAAAAATAAAAAGGAGAGACTACACGTGAATTGACTATGAATTAATAAAGCGGGGACTGGAGAGACGACGTGTTTTGCTATTTATTCTTTTTTCTTTTTTTTTTTAATTCTACTTAGTAATTGAATTGTATTACAGGAGAAGAAAGAAGAGTCTATGAAGCAGTAGAGTTTCTGTAGATCTGAGATTGATTTCTCTATTTTCTTATATCGTTGAAGTAATCGATATTTTATTTGTTCAAATTTTTTCTTTTTTCTTTGAATATAATTTTTTTAAAAGAAATTTACAATCAATGATGTGGAGGGTTTGTCAAAAAAATTCTACTAAAATAGAATCCATACCATCATTATTTTTTTTTTAAGAATTTGATTTATTCCTTTACTTTTTTATTTTGAACTCTAAATCTAGTATGTAGAAGAATTTATTTTTCTAAACGTTCAAATTATTACAAAAACATCCTTTTTAAAAAAAAAAAAAGTTCGCATTGAATTTCATATTGACAATTTTACTTTTTTTTTTTTCCTTTTTGATGGGAGGTTAGAAACTGTTTTCAATGGTAGAGAGGAAAGCAAGATATATACCCTTAAAAGGTCCAAAACAAAAATTTCTAAGGAGAAGATTAAAAAATAATCTTATTGGATAATATTAAATTAAAATGTTATCATTAATTAAATGAGATTGTAATACATAAATAAATTACAACGTCATAGTTAGTTTGTAAGCAAATTTTAATTTTTAGGTTAAATTTAGTATTTGATTCTTGTAATTAGTATTTTTAAAAATTTATTTTTAGAATATCCAAAATTATATATTGAAAAATATCTCTTAATTATGTTTAAAAAAATTAATCTTAAAATACGTGAAATTTGGTCCAAAAATATCTTTGTTACTAAAAATAAAAATTTCACGTGGAGACCAACAAACGATATCATGGACGGTAAGAGTTGGTGCCTCGAGTACGTACTATTTATAGTCAATCAGTTTAATTATTTCAACCCTGATTAACTCGATTGCCAATTAATTAAGCTGTCCACCAGATTTTGCAGCCCATTCACTGCAGGACATTGACACCAATCTGTTGGCTGCAAAACCTTGTGTGAACCTTAGTAATTGGCCATCAATCAATTATGGATTGGATCTTGCTTTTTAATTTTCCTTTTTGGACCGTTGATATTTTATGATGATAATGCCCGATAAAACGTGTTTCTCAGTGATAGGATCACATATTGCTTTTTTAAAGTTCGATTTGAGTCCCATATTACATCTTACACGTATATATTAGAGATTTTGTTATTTAATTCTCTAGTTTATAGTTTAATTATGTTGTTTTGATTGCATGTTAGAGTAAAGAGATTAGCTTTTACGTTGATTCATCTTTTATTCTAAATTATTATTTCTGCTATTCTGCAATTCAATCAATTTTGAAAATCGTAGTTATTTATCAAAAGATTTTCAATCATATTGTAACTTATTAAATTCAATTCAATTTTTTTTTACGGCTTTAAATATATATAAAAAATTCATTAAGATTAGTTTTAGTTTATATTTCAAAATTAATTTAATTTATTTATTACAAAATTGAAAGATTGACTGACTTACAAAACGCATCACAATCATCATTTATGATTAAAAAATTCTTCTTTATCGAGGCTGACTAAAAAAAAGAAGAAAATGCAATACGTTTACATCATTCTCTACACCTTTAAATTAGTTTGACATATTAAAGCATCTCCAATGGTGCTCTTTACTTTTAACTAACATTTTTAATGTAAATAGAGAGTATCATTAATTATATAGATAGAAGATCAATATCCTCTCTAATGCTACTCTCTATTTAACTCTTTATTTTGACAAAATCTATAAAACTCATAGAGACTATTGGTGAAGAGGTTGAGTGGCATTGGAAATAGTAATTTTCATTAATAAAATATAAGATAAAGAGTCATTTAGACTCTCTAGTATTGGAGAGCCAAAGACACTCTTTATACTAATTTTAAAGATAAAGATTGTGATAAAGAGAGCATTGGAGATGAAATTTGGATCAAAACTCTTTATTATAAAGAAAAATCTTAATATAAAGAGAGCATTGGAGATGCTCTTACAAATCCAATTATGAAAGCTCAATTCTAAATTCAAGTAAAAAAATTCCATAATTAGTTGGCAGCGGAACACGAAAAAAACAATCTAAGTGTCGCCGAGTTGCCGAGCTGACCATGTTCCTCGAAAACCAAATCATCATAGTCAACGCTTCAGTTCTAGTCATTTATGGACTCTATATAAATTAAAATGTATATTAATCTATTAAACTATGCAGCACCGATCGACAGATTAATTTAGCGGTACAAAAATTATTTTGATTTGATCTATTAAATTTCAATTTCTATTATATAAATAATTAATTATAATTATCATTTACTAGTATAATGTTGTGATTAGTTTCGCATAAAAAACAATTTACTAATAAAATAAAAACTAAATATGATTTCACGTTGATTTATTCAAAAAATAATAAATTTAATTTTGATTCGCAAATTAAGATATATATATATCTTCCCTAGAATTTCATAACCATAACGAGATTCGCACATTTTTATAACCTCTAGTGATTAACAAGCAATTTTAAATGCTGTATATGTCTAAGGTTTACGATTTTCCAGCTCTAAAGCTCCTTTACTAACGGTTCAAGCTACATTATGTAGATATATTTTAAAGCACAACTTGGGGATTATCATCAAATTTTAGTGAGAGAAAGTGTTTCTCTAGTGAGGGAATAGAAGGTTTGAATATCTGTGAATTTTAGCAAATTTACTGAAGGAAGACAGGTTCAGCTCTGTGTTCACTCTTGTCTTCGCAAATTCTTATCTGGGGTATGTTTTATTTTTGTTTACTTAGGTTTTATTGAAAGTTTTTGAATAGTTTAGAGTTCAGCACCTTTTATTTTGTTTTATTTTTTCTGTTTGGTTGCTGAGAATATGAAGGAAAATGAACTAAACCATGTTGTATCTTTGTTAGATGACAATGTAGTAATATAGCAAGTTAGCTAATCTAGTAATTGATTTCAGTTAAGGTGAGTGGAGGTTTTGCATGTTCTCAAATGATAGAAAATATTTTTAGATATGAAATCTATACTATACATTTGATTCTAGAATTGAGCTTACTTTTTAAACTCTATGAACTTAGATTTCAAATCCAAAGAAGGAAGAGGAATTTCACCAGACCACAGTTACTGGATCCTGTTTAATCAACGATGGGGAGGCTATGTTCTCCAAAATGTAGATTTGCAAGAATAATGGGTTGGCTTCAAATCGTGCTGGGAGGTCTTGCTATTGTTGTAAGCATAGCAAGTCTCTTTAAGTTCTATACCGCAGGATTTTTCCTTAACCATGAAGACATATGCCACGACTTTTATCATGTCAGTGATGCTTCTGTTGGATTCGATATAAGAGCATTGAACGATCGAGTTGGAGAAGTTCTTGATAGGATGGATAAATTGCAAGAAAAGTTGGAGAAAAAGGTGCAAGAAATGGAGAAGAACAGAGATGATTTGGGTAAAACTACAATGACAAGATTGGAGCACAAGAGGTTTTTGGAGCAAGAGGTGATTAGGCCACTCTATGGTGCTCACATTGCTCTTCGGCAGATTCGGCTACCGAAGGCTGAGGGGATTAGAAACTCAACAATGAAGGAGGAGCCTTTGATTAACACTTTTGTTGTTGAGGAGATTCGAAAGTACATCACTCCGAAAGAAAATAGAGTTGGGAATACAAACATATATGGGACGGAGAGGATATATAACACGATAGGTCATGCCTGTGTTTTAATGAAGAAAGAATTAGAAGAATACATGGACTATGACATTGGTTCTTACTGTAAAGATGATTGGAACCTGGCTCAGAAGCTCATGGTCAATGGATGCGATCCGTTGCCGCGACGACGGTGCTTGACAAGGGCCTCCAAGGTCTATCAGAAGCCGTACCCCATCAACGAGTCCTTGTGGAGAGTGCCAGATGACAGAAATGTGAGGTGGAGCAATTATCAATGCAGAAATGTTCAATGCTTATCGAGCAAGAATCCGAAGAGGGGTTATTCAAAGTGCACTGGTTGTTTCGAAATGGACAAGGAAAAGCTGAAGTGGGTAACTAATATCTCGCTTCCTGTCGATTTTCTGATCAAAGATGTTTTGGCAATCAAGCCGCGAGAAATACGGATCGGTCTGGATTTCGGAATTGGAACAGGAACTTTTGCTGCCAGGATGAGAGAACAGAATGTCACCATTGTCTCAACTGCTCTAAACCTCGGAGCTCCATTCAATGAGATGATTGCACTTAGAGGTTTGATTCCTCTGTATGTGACGTTGAACCAACGCCTTCCGTTCTTCGATAACACAATGGACTTGATTCATACCACTGGATTTATGGATGGCTGGATTGACCTGATGCTGATGGATTTCATCTTGTTCGACTGGGATCGGATTTTAAGGCCTGGAGGATTGCTATGGATTGACAGGTTCTTTTGCAACAGGAAGGACTTGGATGATTATATGTACATGTTTCTTCAGTTCAGGTACAAGAAGCACAAGTGGGCTGTTTCTCCTAAATCAAAGGATGAGGTCTACCTTTCTGCATTGTTAGAGAAACCTCCAAGAGCTATTTGATAATACTATAATTGCATGTCTAAAATTGATAAACATTCTTGGATCATCCTGACAAGGCCTTCCATTTCACAGGCTTAGCTTGTATTTTAGAGTGAAAGCTTCTTTTTTTTTCTTTTTTTCTTTTTTCTCGTTGACTTGATTGGTTAGGAAATGTTAGTCAACTGTAACATGGCCCATTATAAGGTTAACCATGAATGGGCTTTTGCATTATATACAAAATTTGGGCTTGGGTGCTCTTTCTTTCTACAGTCATAATTCCATGTAGCCTTGCGTTGATCCGAATGTAAGAGCCCTTCAACAAGTTAAAAGGAGTGGAGGTCAAAATGTTGCTCTCTTTCTTTGATAAATATGATTGCCGTGTTTTTACTAGTTTGAAAGAATTCAAATTCTCTTCTAATCAGGAATATAGATCTTTGCTACTAGAAAAATTTAAATTCTTTTTTTTTTTTCCCTCTCCTAGCAACTCCAATGGCATAGGTTCTCCTTTTTGGTTAGAAAATTTTAACTTAGACCAGGATGTACGTAAACCTTTGCAAATATAAAAAGGATGTACGGTGTCCATGAAAAAAACTAGATTAAAATAGAGTTAATAGTTTCATTTTTCTTTATATAATATAGCCTAAGTTTTCAATGTGTACTCATATCTTAAAATGATTATATTATGTTTTTTATATTTGAAGAAGTTTTTAATCTATCATTCCGTTCAATTTTTTATTATAATCATTAAAAATTGACCATATAACTTGCAAATGATATTTTTTAAAACAAAAATGCCCCTTCGGGTCATTTTTTTCTCTTTTTTTCTTTTTTTCTTCCTCTTCCTCTTCCTCTTCTCTCCACCAAGAGAGAGAAAGAGAGTGGCAGCCGAGGGGTACGAGAAAAAAAAAAAAAAATGAAGAGGAAGAGGAAGAAAAAGAAGAAGAAAAAAAAAAGAGGGGCATTTTCATTAAAAAAAAAAAAAAAAAGACTCATGTGCAAGTCACGTGTTCAATTTCAATTTCTGATGATTTTGCAAAACATTCACCAAAAAAAAATAGATTAAAAACTTATTAAAATAACATGAAAATAATAAAATCATTTTAAAATATAAAGACAGATTGAAAATTTAAACTATTGTATAATAACATGTAAAATTATTTATCCTTAAAAATAACCAAGAGGCCAGCATTGTTTTTATTAAAAAGAAAAAGAAAAGGTCATTCCTCTACTTCAAGGAAGAGATTTCATGTTTGAAGTGGAGAATGCTTAATTAGCTACAGAAATGATTCAAAACTGGGCGGTTAATCATCCGTACTTTATAATAAACAAAATACATTGCAAGAATATAAAATAAATTTTCTATTATTCAAGTGCTAGTAAACGCTTTGTACTTACAAAAATTACTGATTCAAATTCTTCTTTTAAAATACTTGAATTTTTTTTTAAAAAAATCACTATAAAAAAAAGATATAAAAAGATGCTAGACTAGTCTTCTTATTTTTGTAGTAATGGTCAATTAACCGTTCAATTAAAAAATTTACAATCATTTAATTTTCATACGAGACCGAAATTAGTCTTTCAAGAAATTACCATCCGAAATTTACAATCATTTCACTTTCATTTCCATGGATGTGAGTTTTTTAAAGAGTGATTCATGAAGAATACTTAGTAAAATTAGTATTTTTTTTTTTTTGGTTCCATTCTTTAACAGAATACAAGAATGTTTAAAATTAGTATTATTATTAAAAATGATAATTGGTTATAAAGTATTTTTGAACTATTGGTCAATAGGAAAAAAATTCATAATCCTTTTTTTCATTTTATCTGGGTCCCTAATTTTTTTCTTTGATTTGCAATTAAATTCTTTTGTTTCATGCCACATTAGACACACGTTAAGCCATAAAATAATCATACGTGTCTCATATTTAGGATTTTTAGGACACATATTATTATTTTAACGGCTCTATATATCTCTCGTGTGGCCCGAGATTGATTAAAGAGATGAAAGTACTTAATTGCAGATAAAAAATTGGTTGGAAAACCTGAATCATGAGGAAAAAAGGTTTGAGATTTTTTATTTTCTATCTACTAATAGTCGAGAATACTTTATAACTAATTAGCTATTTAAATAATAATACCAATTTTAAACATTCTTGGACTCTGTTAAAGAATAGGAAAAAAAAAAAAACCTAATTTTACCAAAGATTCTTCATGAACCACTCTTTCAAAAACTCCCATCCGTGGAAAGAAAATTAAATGATTGTGAATTTTCGACTGCTAATTTCTTGAAACTCTAATTTCGGTCCCATGTGGAAAGCTATTAACGGGGCCCATTGAAAATGCTTTTGCATTCTGTACAAAACTTGGGCTTGGGTGCTCCTTCTTCAACAGTTATGAATGATTCCGTGAATGCTTGCTTGATCTGAATGTAAGAACCCTTCAACAAGATGAAATGATGAGTCCAGGTCAAAAGATTGCTCTTTTTCTTTATTTTTTGTGTACCACTACCATTATTATAACAGTTTATTTGTGTTTTGATAAATAGTATTATTGGCACAAAAACATATTTGTACTAACGGTTATATATCTAGTTAAATTCTTTAGTAAGTAGAGTTCAAATTCTAATAATTTTAATTTTTTTTATGATTATGTAACGCAAAAGACCTATCTCTTATTATTTAGACCAAAAACTCTCTAGCCGTTTATGAATTAAAAAAAAAAAATTACTTTATATTTGCTAACTTTTGAGAATTTAAATTCTCTTCCAATCACTGCATATATATATATTTTTTTCTTACTTTTCTGTTTCAATTAACCCCATACTGATTTTGTATCTTATTTTAATTAATCTTAATTGATCACTAGAAAAAAAAAAACCTAATTTTACTTCTTCCGCCAATGGCATAAGTTATCCTTTGGTTACGGAATCTTAACTTAAACTAGGATTTACAGACTATAAATAAACTTTAGCAAATATGAAAGGGCTAGATTAAAATGACCAGAGGCAAACATTGCTTCCATTAGAAAGGAAAAGAACAGAAAATAAAAGGTTCTTACACTTCAAGGAAGAGAGGATTAATGTCAACATAAATAATTATTTATCCATGAGGCCATGACCCGATTGATAGAGAAGCTAGACTCTTCCTTGTTGAGAAGGCTTCTCGGGCTCGACCACCTAGAGGTAATAACATTAAAAGCAAAAAAAAAAGAGAGCATATATTCTAATTAAGTACTTAGATCCATACATGCCCATTGGATTTTTCCATCACTATTTCGTTGTTAATTTTTTGTAACGAGTTTCGAAAAGATCATGACTTCCAATGGATCCTCACATGCCCATTGGACTTTTTTTTTATTTCCTTATGGGGAAACCCTAATGGAGTGGTGCTAAAACCCTAGATGAGTCAATAAGAGAAGCTTAATTTGTACAGACAACTCTATATAATTATATAACTGTCTGCATCGGTGCTTCCCACTACTGCTATGTTAATTATATATGAAATCCAGCCAAACTTCTATAAATTAATAAAGCCTCAAGAAATATTAAATTGTGGCCTTTATGTTTTTGTAGTTGTCAGAGATCATCAGAAATTATATTGAGAAAATAAGAGTTATTTATAAAATGCCAACACATTGATGAATAAATGTGGCTGCTTTATTTTTCTACTCTTGTTAAAATTACTTGTTTACCTGTGTCAAAGAACAAAATACATCCTTTCACCGCTATCTTGTTCTTTAATTTTAATTAAAAACAAGTGAAGGACGTAATCCTTTGATCATAAAATTAAATTTTGATACCATATCAAAAAAATTATTTTCATTTAAAAACCTAAACTACTAGATGAGTTTTCAAAGTTTATTTTATATTATTTTTTAAACAATCTGTAATGTAATTAGGTAGCTCAAAATATAAGAGAGCTCTTATATATTACAAAAGATGGATAATTTTGGAAGCTATCAAGAATTTCAAAATTTGCAGCATGAAGTATAAATTAAATCAAACATGTTTGAATGATCACATCATCGTATGAACTCTTTAATTTACTCGCTTAACATTAAATTTAGTGAGGCATTAGCTGATTCTAATGAGTGTTAAAGAAATAAATTGTTAGAGACTAGTATAAATTATATTATAGGACCTCACCTATCAGCTTAAGCTTTTAGGTGAGATGGTCATTTAACATGGTATCGAGCTTGGTTGACCTTGAGGTTCCGAGTTCAAGTCTCACCTCTCCAATTTCTCAAATATTAAGCACAAGACAATGTGGACTCGTGCAAGTTTCATGCCCCAAATGTTGGGTCTTTCACTTGAGGGGGTGTGTTAGAGACTAGTATAAATTATATTATAGGGCCTCAATTATCAGCTTAAGCTTTTAGGTGAGATGGTCCTTTAACATAAATCAAACAAAAGAATAAAGTAGCGAGATCGTCATATTGAATATGTATAGCGTCTTATATTGTAGGCTTCCATTCATATCAATCTCTACAATTTAACAATGAGTACTGAACAAATTAAATTACAAGAATACGTATAAATAATAATTAAAAAAATAAATTGGTCCGATAGTTAAAAATGTTAATTTGTTTAATTCTTTAAACTTTTGAGTTTGAATATTAAGATCAATATTTAGTGAATTTTATTCTCCTGAATAGATACACCTGCACATGTAGAGGTGTTTTTAAGATTGACTGAAAAGAAGTTCTAGTCTTGATCGACGCACAAATTAACTAGTTTTAAAATATTTTTTTATAAAAAAATATGTATGAAAAGAAATCTTCTATATATTATTCATATGGTCGGTTATTAATCATCCGTGCTACACTTTGTTCCAAGCTAAATTATCCCAATATTCTAGATTACTAGATCCACCATACCATACAATGAAACTATTGAGCACGTACAAATTTTAATTCAGGACAATTACATGAATATAATATTGAATAATTTTTCAATAATGCTTCTCGTAAAATGGCCTAAACAAATGAGCTGATTCATAGCATATTATTTAGACGGAAAGAGTGGAAACATGTCCTACGACAGATCCATTTAATAATAAATAAATAAAAATGTATAATTAACTCATAAGATGTTTCATGGGATAGGAGTGAGATAAAAATTTGTGAGGCCACAATACCATGCTTTTAGTCTCATGTTGTCTACATGTGTAATGTTTTTTTTTTTTGGTCAACGATCAAGTTTACAGATCTTGTTTTAGTGTCAACTAACTATATATTTATGTAGAAATTATTTGACTTATATTTTATCAGAAAACAATATCATATAAAAAAAATTATTTCAAAATCATAAATTATTAGATGAGATTTTAAAAATTTTCATTTAGTATCGAACTAGCTACAAATTTATCTAAGGTTTATTTAATTTGTATTTTGTCAAAAAGCCATATATATCATATCAGAAAAATTATTTCAACGTAAAATCTTAAATTATTAATTGAGATTTCAAAATTATTTATATTATTGGCTATCGTATCCAATGAGTATGGAGGTGAGCTAAATTCTTCATTAGTGGAAACCAATAGTCATCAAATAAAATTCCTTCACCACTCTTTTCAGCTCTATCATTTGGTTTTTCCTTGCTAGATTACACACACAATCGAATTGGGCCCTTCATTATTCTTTTACTCAAATCCATCTAGACTAAAATTAATTTGATAATGATTCTCGATAGAATCATGCTAAACAGCTAAATAAGCTTTTGATGTTACACAAATTTGAGCAACCAAACAATTTCAATTCATAATACAAAATGTTTTGCTGCCATGATAGATAACCAAAACCGAAAAACTAACCTCAATTTGAGGTAATCAAACCCAATACTTTTTTAGAATAATTTCTTTTTTTGTACTTCGTCTTAGGCTCTAAACATGCAGACGTGCACAAACGATGTCCACTCATTTGAATAGAAGAAACTGAATTATATAAGCAATTCTTGTACATTGCAAGGACAAAGAATTTCCATGTTGTATGGAGTGCAAGAAAAGGGGTGAACAAGTGGTATGGAGTATTGGGGGACAATAGCACTCTTTTTGTAGCTATTTTGTAGCTAGGATTCCAATTTGGGTTAGAATTTCCAGCGAAACGTTTTTAATTAGTTGCAAATGTAGATGCAAGTAGACTAGTATTTTTTTTCCCAGCTATTAGGTTAGCTATTTAACCCACATAATTAACTTAAAATGATGGTATTGGTAATTTATAGCAAACCTTTTTTTTTTTTTATTACATAATTTTATGAGATTTAGTAAAACTAATTTCAAATTTGAGTTTAAAATGTCGAGAATGACAACTCGTTATTCGATAATGGTTATACAGTATATGACACGCGACATCAACTTTATATTTATAATATATATATATAATATCTAAAATCATGACTCGTTATTGTGTACATATTTATATAGATTTATAAGTGAATAAAAGTACAACTTTCGGTTTCAAAATAGAATATAAAAATCTAATTATAAGATTTTAATTAACATTGTTTGTAAACCCATTCTTTTGTAATGGGGTGCCATGATATTAAAAATCTATGATGTTGCCTCGACCAATTAAAACTAGCTAGATGAACTTTTTTTTTTTTTTAATTTTTGATGGCATATAAGAAAAATCAAGAATGAATGCTATGCCATGTGATGGGGAATGCCATACCATACATATACACACACATATATTATAATACACGCACACAGACATGCATTCATAGACACATTTATTTACAGAAAGCTAGAGGGCAAAGCAAATAGCAAATATTTGTGACTGAATATATATATATATAAAAAAAAAATGGACGATGAGCAAGATCGGTTGTTGCCTATTGCCAATGTGGGTCGAGTGATGAAGCAACAACTGCCACCAACTGCAAGGATTTCAAAAGAAGCTAAGCGAAGAATGCAAGAATGTGCAACAGAATTTGTAAGTTTTGTAACTGGTGAGGCATCTAGCAAGTGTCAAAAGGACCATCGCAAGATAGTGAACGGAGATGATGTTTGTTGGGCTCTCAGTTCTCTAGGGTTTGATGACTGTGCTGAGGCTACAGTAAGGTATTTGCATAAATATAGGGAAGCTGCAGAAAGAGAGAAAGCTACAGACAGTACTGTCGACAGGGACAAAGTTGAAGAATCCAGCCATGAAAGTAGCCCCCAAGCACCGCAGAAAACTGCCCAGAATCCTGAACCAACATTAGAGTTCAGGTTTCTTTAATGACAGCCCTCTCACAAACCCATCTTCAGAAATACTAATACCTACTTTTTTTATTATGGAGATGAAGGAGAAGATTAAAAAGTATGGAATGTTATATATATGGAAGAGATCAGAGTTTATTAATCTTTCTCCTGTGCTTAGGGTTCTTAAATTGTTCTTTTTTTCTTACTTTTTTCTTTTTTCTTTTTTCAGTGAAGAAGAAGAAAACTCTGTATATAATCTTAGCTATTATATAATTAGGCTTGGCATTCTGGACTTGTTTGCTTAGAAAATTGAAGTTTAGAGGCCTTTCTAGCCTGTAGCTTTTTATTCTCTATATCAACCACTAACAAGTAATTAGCTCGTAGTTCATAACAATCAAAATAAGGTTTTCACAAGAGATTTTAGAGCTCAGGTTTATCTGGACAGTTACCATCCTGCTAATTAATATTAGAAACATCTAAATCGGCTAAGAGAGAAAATTCATATGTGGGAATGTTTTGAAGAGGGGGATTGATTCTGGAAATGATCTGATCATTTGTAATCCTTGTGAATTGAACTTCAATTTAGGTTGCAAGTGCAAGGAATTAGAAGAAAACGAAGCGGCACTTAGTGAATAACAGACCATAAATTCTGCAGTTCAAAGTAAAGATGGGAAGGTTATGCTGTCAATGATGTAGATAGGTAAGCATACTTCAAATCATGTTAGTATTAAGTTGCATAGACTAATTTGGATAGAGATCCGCTTTATAGGATGCTACAAATAGAGACATGTACAACATCTCTTTCGTTTATAAGCTAGTCATTTGATAAAACCTAATAAGAACTCCTAATTAATGTGGTCATTCAAATAGATATCATTATTGAAACATGTAAAATATTTATGTTGAGTGATTGTTTTTGTCTTTTTACTTTATTTTCTTACACAATTCGTTTTTAACAGTTAGATAGGCTTTTTATTGTTGTTGGAAGCATATATAGCAAGATTTAAGTTCTACATTGCAGGGTCTTTCCATTCACAGCGAAGACATATGCTGCCACTTTTATCTTGTTGCCGATGTTTATGACAGCTTGATATAAGAGCATTGAATGATTAACTTGCAGTACCTGATAGCATGGATAAATTGCAAGCAAAACTGCAGGAAACAAACTTGTAAAGAAATGTAGCAGAGACAGATGAATTGGATAAATGCAACATTAATCAAAGAGAAAGTAAATTACGCCAAAAGAAAATGGAGTTGGAATACATACATGAGATGGAGAGGATATATAACGCAATTTAGCTAGGGCATGTGTTGTTCTGTTGAAAAAAGAATTGGAAGAATACGTGAACTATGACATTAATTTGATCTTATTGTGAAGATGATTGTAATCTCGGCCTGAATTTCGATCAGTGGTGGTGCAGCTAAGGATGATATTGCTACTTCTCCTGTTCTTCTATAATACAATTAATGGAATTGATTCATATCTTTGGATTTATAGACAGCTGGATGTTGATGGAATTTATGCTGTGTGATATTGGAATGGGATTTTAGAAGATAGAATTAAGGATTGCTATGGATTGATGGTTTGTTTAATTTGCATAGTGCAAGTACAAGAAACATAATTAGTTGTTTCCAATTTTTTTTTTTTTTAATTTTGTACAAATTTATAATTTTAATTAGAGATTATTGTGTATTAGTGATATATAATACAACTTTATATTTAACGCTGAATTTTCTTACTTTATAAATTGGCAATCTTTTCTTATCATTTCAAGAAAATATAATTAAAATGTTGTTGTAAATTTCTCCTTGAAATTTTGAATCTTCTATATTATAATTCGCTATATTTCTTGAAAAAAATAATCAAGGTTTAATTAATAATTTACTCGTCTATCAGACTTAATATAATAATTTTACTATCATCAAACTTCATTCACGTATGATCACACATTACACCAATATTTTAAAAGAATCCATTATAGCTTGCATATTTTTTTGCCTTAATTCTAATTTGCTCCAATATCTCATCTCAACACACCTACTAATTATTTTGTTCATGATTATGTACCTTTTTTTTATTTTAATCACGTGAAAATAAACCTAAACATGAATAAATTTTACGGCATTATATTAACATTTTTTTACCTTATATGCATCATGTATATAGGCATGTTAATTATAGTTAGCAATTGATTCGATCTCGGATCTATCCTATGTAATATATATATATATATATATATATATATATATATATATATATATATATATATACTAATTAATGATCCTCTATTATTGATTTTCTAATTGACTAGACCAGTTGTTGAGGAGAAATTATGAAATTGCGAAAAATTAATTTGTATATCTTTTGGTTTGGTTAGGCTCCAAACACTAAATATGTACTATGTAGTTCATAACTTTCACATTGACATATATACCTAACAAGAATAGTATGATTTGGTATGTATTAATCATGCAAATTTGTTTTTTTTTTTCCCCCTTCTCTATTTGCGTTTTAACTGACAAGCATGACTATTTTAGTGCACGATCTCTCTATTTTCTACATGTGAGGGAGAAAAGGACATTGAAGAAGTAGAAGAATAGAGTAAACAATGCATTTGTCTTAATTATTTCATCAATTCAATTGATTTAGACTGAATGGTAAACAATGATTCAGGATCTGAATTGAAAAAAAAAGTTGGAGTCCTTAATTGGTTTGTACATAAAATAATTTTTGGACTGTATATAAATTAATACATTAATATGGAAGTTAACAGAAATTTTGAAAATTATAGATCAAGACTAAGTGTGCAAGTGTAACTAAATCTTTTCTAAATATAGGATTCAATCGTAATCTTCAAAAAAATTGGATTAAAATAAATTTATTATTACAGGCGTAAATTGCGGATGGTTTCTATTTGACCGTCTCTAGTGAATTGCAAGTTAGTCCCTATATGTTTGAAAATAAATAAGTTAATCCTTTAACTAGTGTTTTTTTTTCTCAGAAGGATGGCAAAACTCTAAGTTACAAGTGAAACATTTTAGGAAAATAATCCACAAATGGCATCTAATAAAAATCTCAAACAGCCTATAAGAGTTTTCATAAGATACTGACTGTCGACATCAAAAAAATAAATTTCTATACATATTTTTTCACTATGACGGAAACGAACTTTCTAAAGACCCTACAAATTAAAAACAGGAAAATAAAATCAATTACTAAGTAAGGGTCATGAAGCCCATAACTCAAGCAATTGAGCTTTGATGGCCCAACAGTCTGCTTGTTCTGTTGACGAGAGAAGAAAAGCCATGGACTTGCCTATGAAGCCCGCCCCGCATTTAGCAGTAATGGGCTTTTGCATTTGATAAAATATTTTGGGCTTTGATGCTCTTTCTTGAACACTAATAATTCTACGAAGGCTTGTCTTGGTCCAAAAGAATAGCTTGAATCTAAGAGTCCTTCAAGGATTTTAAATGAGCCGAAGTCCAAATATTGCCATCTTCCACTGAATATCAATCACCCTAACCATTCATATTCTGTACGTTGTTGTACTGTGAATGAATTGGAATCTTGTGCCTATGAAATTAAACCTATTAAATTGTTTGGTTATATATGATTATATTGTGTTGAATTAAAATCACTTAATTGTTTGGTAATCTATTACGGCATTGTTTGAATTAAAGTCATAAATTAAACGTTATAGATCTTTATAAAAAAATAAAATAAATTATTTAAAATATTTTTCTTTCAATGATTAAAATAATTTTTTAATGAATAATTTCATTCATAAACAATATTTTTTAAAATAATACAATTAAAAAAAAACAGAATTAATACATGACATTTTTTTTTGAATTGAACTACATATCCATATAATGTGTAATTTAATTAACATCCATAAATGTACTAGCGATATTTTTGTTGTTAAGAATTTTTTTAATGTTATTTCATCCCTGCTTTCTATTGAAAAAAAAAAATCACTTTTCATGCTTCTTTTTATTTTATTTTTTACATGTAGAAGTTAATATCTTTTAAGTGGAATCAGCTTCTACTTCAAAAAGTTTTAATCATGCACAAAGGAAGAAAAACAATTTTAACTTTAACTTTAACGGTTTGATAAAAGATATATAAATAATATATTGATTTTCTTCTCTAACAACGCACTCAATGTTGTAGTAATGTCTTTTATAACGGTCAGGAGATCCATACAGTTGTCTATATAGCAGTAGAAAATTCAAGAAATCTATCCATACGAATAAAAAAATTATAAAAAAAAATACCATATATAATAAACCAAAGGCATGCAGGCCACACATCGAAGGCAAGACAGTGATGATAAAGTTCTTCTACATTAACATCAAGTTAAAAAAGAAAATGTAGTTTAATTTGGTTAATTAGAGATGCATGAGCTGAGGAAATTGTAAAGCTAGCATTGGTTGAATATAATATGACTGGGCTGGCCAGCTAGCTAGACATGCACATCTTACAAAGTTCAAATCATGCAAACTTTAATTTTAATGTGGATGAATTGTTTATAATCTAACAAGAGAGATGGATATAATCATGATCATACAAGGTATAACTCCAGATTTCCAACTTTAACAAAAGAAATGCCTAGTTGGGCAAAAAGAATTATGCTGTCTACAATAAGTTCTTACCTTCCACACTTTGGGTAGGAAAAATTTAATATAAACTCCTGCAAATATAAAAGGTTATTCCTATCCACTAGCATGAACTTCATTAGTATTTTTTTTCTCAAACTTTTACAAGAGAGGAAGGGTGAAAAGATCCTGATTCTTTAAGAGGAAAGCAATATTTAATTTATCCAATGAAAAAGGCATTTCTTTAAACTATAAAAAAAGAATTTAAAATTGGTACTAGATCACTGACATAGAGACCCAAAAAAAAAAAAAGGAAGAAGAAGAAGCAACTAGACCATATGAGATGCCCATTTGAGTAAGGTATCAAAATAAAAGGTATTCAATTCCAAGTCCTTAAAAGACGACTTCCAAATATCTAGCTAGGGTTTCTGAGGAACATTACATGGACTTAGTGCGCATAGCCATTTGTTTATCCATTTCTTTAGTCTCTTATATATGGGAAACCCTAAAGAAGTTATAAACCCTAGATATGGGTCCTTGAGGAAGTTTTGTACAACTCCATCAATATTATACGTCTTCTTCCTATAAATCGTCCTGATCAGCTTTAGCCAAACTTAATTAAGTAAACAAAACCTCAAATAATACCTAATCGAAAGGCAGTCTTTATTAGCAAAGACATTTCTAAGATCATTCGGCAAATTTTCAATTAATTAACTTCAATAACTGAGTTCAATTAGTTACTGTTGTTAGGTTGACCTACAAAAGCCATTGAGATGATGTGTAGCCAGCTACATTCTTGTTTTTTAATCTCTTTTAATGGTTAGGCATATATTCTTGCGTCATCTTTCACAAATAAAGACTAAGTTCATATATTCAGACTAAGTTGATCTCCATCCCATCAGGATTTAGGTTCGATATCCATTATATTCATGAGAAATTTTTTTCTTCCAATCTCTTTTTGATTCAAATCTGAAATAATTAATAATGCAGAAAACAATCATAAGTTACGTGCATATAATTGGATGAATTTCACAAAGTATAAAGGAGCTCTTTCTTATACCAAAAGAGATATTCTCAAAGTAATGAACATTTAAAAAAAAAAAAAATTTTTTTGCAAAAGTAATGATTAAGTGTAAAGATGACACGTTTGCACGAACATGAGTAAGAAGAATTTAGATTATTAATAGGGTTTAATATAACTCGTGCCCTTATACTTTAATAAAATTATCGTCACAATTTCTACATTTAGATATAATTTATAACCGATCTTATATTATTAGAAATTGATGTAAAAGAACCACTCTATTATGTTTTTATATTCGTTTGACTAATTTCTATTAGTTGATTAATAGAAGACCAATACAATATCAATACTCATCATTTTGAAGGTAAAAACATAATTTTCTTTCTAATTTAGTTTTTGTACGCTTTGGTCTAAGTTAAAATGACCAATAATAATTTAAAAATCAATTTAAAAAAAAAGATAAAAAACACTTCACCTAACCCATAAATAAATACAGTTTCCTTTAAAAAAAAACATAGTTACCATTGTAACCAAACCTATAAATTTGTGATTCATCAAGAAAAATCAATGTATCATTGTTACCATTGTTATACTCTACATTCCCACAATGGTGACCAAACCAAACACATAATCACCTGAGAGAGAAGGACAACCTTCATGAGGTTTAAGAACATTTTTTTTTAAAGAACTCTTTCTTATACCAAAAGGGATATTCTCAAAGCAATGAACATTTTTTTTTGAAAAAAAAACAAAAAAAAGGCTTGCAAAACTAATCATCATGAATTGGAATAATTTAGATTATTAATGGTTGAACCCAATATTACTATTTTGATATAACGCCCTATTGTACACAAACAAATATAATCTAATAGTAGTGTATATAATAATTTCATTAGTGAAGCAATTTTGAGTTTATTTGATTATTATGAACTAAGGAAAAAAAAAACTATTTCTATAGTATAGTACAAAGCTCACGAACTTGTCGACGAACTGGGAAAAAAAAGATTACTGCTAATGGATGGTGAACAAATCAGATTATAAGAATATGAAAGAAAAACCTTAATTTAACCAACCGGACGGTTGTTAATCACCAGTACAGCATTTTATTCAAAGATACATCGTACCAGAAATCTAGATTACAAGCCCCACCAATATTACACCTTATAAATTAAAGAAGCACATTCAAAATTTAATTATATAATTAAAGTGCACCCTCTGTTGAACAGTTTATCAATTATTGTACGATTATGCCTAAAAAAGAAATGATCTTGATTCGATTGCATATATATTATGCCTAGAAAATTGTTTAACAATAAAATTCAATCAAGAAAACAGAATGTGTATATCGTTGAACTATTTACAGGCAATATTGATGAAACTAGGTACTAGCCAGTAATTAAAAAAAGATCTTGCCTATTTTAAGATTTTGCTTCAAAAATCATCAAAACTTTAAATATCATTTCAATTTAAAAAATTTAACTATTGGATAAAGTTTTAAAAATAATTTTATATTGTTCTCTCGACACATTCTATTGTTCTTAGCACACAAAAAGAACATAAATAAATAAATATATTTATCATAAATTAAGATGGACAAAAAAATTAAAATTTTTTACTTTTATCGTTAAAACATTCGAGATTAAAATTGTGTTACCATGTGTCATGATATAAAAATGATCGAACCATCAAAATAATTTTTTCATAATTTTTAGGTAACTAACTCGACTCACAATTAGGTTACTTTCTTGAGATGATGCGCGTTATTCACAGAATTTATTTAATGCAATAAATCAAGAATATATTGCATCTCATCTCAAGGATACAACAAACCCAACCACCTTGTCGTGTCTTAATAAGTTTACACTATTTGTAAAACTTGAAACTTTGAATAAAATTAGCACCACTCTTATCAAAATATAAAACTAAAAGGTTATATGGCTTTTTTAGTGAGAGGCTAAAAAAAAAAAAAACAAATATGAAAGAAACATTTTTTCTTCCAAAGCAAGCAAAAACTTGTTGTGGCATGTATTTTCTTTTCTTCCCAAGTAAAGTATATGTGATATCTAGCAAATGAGATTAAAAAAAAAAAAAACTTTATCTAGGCATGGAATTAGAGCCGTTAGATGTCATGAATGCATGAATTCATAGTACTCTTTAATACCAAAATGGAAAAGTTTTTAAAAATATTAAAATAAACTTATATCAATTGATCTGTTTTGAAACAGATCACATGATTATTTCAAAATAGTTACATGTATATCCTTTTTTAAAAAATAAATAATACATCAAATGTAGTTTTTTTTTATATTTTACTAAAAAATGTTCCTAACACATTCCGTATTACAAATGTTTTTATATTTTTTCTAACACGCTCTTTTATATTAATTTCTAACATATTTTTTTTAAAATAAAAGTCTTTTGGACTTAAAATATACATAAATCTACAATTATTTTATATTTATTTATTTTTAATTAAAAAAAGTAGAAATGATGAGATTCGAGTTTGTAATTGTTTAGCCATTTAACATTTCGATACTATATCAAAAGAATTATTTTAACTCAAAAACTTATATCACTCAATGAAGCTTTAAAATGATTTTTATATTATTTTTTAACACTTTGGAAACCAACTTAAGTTCATCGTAAGTAAATGTTAGTTCTTGCTCGAATGAATATCTATAAATCTTTCGAGTAATTCCCACAAATTTGACTGACCAAACAGTTTTCAAACTCATAATGCAAATGCTTTGCCCCAAGATAGAGAGACAAACCTAAATACTAACCTAACTAAGCTTGAGGTAATCAGACACTAATAGCACTAGCTAGTGCTTAAAATGATCAGTTCTTCTTTTTAGGTGATGTTTAGGTAATTAATCCCAAAACATGCAAACGTGCACAAATGGAGTCCACTAATTTGAATATTAGAAAATAGTATATATGAACAATCCTAATACACTGCAAGCAGAAATGGTTGCAGATTATATGGATTTAAAAAAAAAAAAGGTAATGCTATAAGGGGGACCATGAAAATAAGCTTTGTAGCTTCGGAACTTTCTAGCTTAATTTACTAGATTTGCTAATATTTAAGTTCACCAAGGCAATTCTCAAATTTAGTTGGCCAATAAGAAGAAGTTATTGATTAGCATTTATAGTTTTTTATTTTATTTTATTATTATTGTGTTGTTTTTCTTCGAAAGTTATAATTAGGTTACATAATTGGAGGTAGCCTTCTAGCTCACATCATTACATTTTTTCTAAATTTAATTGATAAAGTAAGCTATTTTAATTCTAATAGTTTTGTAATAATAAAAAAATTAAATTTAAATTTCACTTTAAAATCTCGAGAATTACGAATCCACAGTTAGATGATGGTTGTTTTGACAACTTTTTATGTGATATCAATATTATGTCTCATTATATATGAGAAATGCATTGTTTAATTATACGTATACATTCTTTATGCTTCGATAATTGTAATTTACTTGTTCAATTCAAAAATAGAATTAAAAAATCAGATTCTTTGATTCAAAAGCCTATTAAGTACACGGACAATAAGAATGTTTCTAATTTAGTCTTATCTTTTATGATACTAACAACTTATTATTTGGCCTCGGTCCATTTAAACTTTAATTCATCTTTGATTCGATGATATGATCATGTAAGAAACATGGTATGTGGCATTAATATGTTATGTCACATGATATGCAATGCATAACCATAACCATGTGCCTATTAGTTGACATACATATATATTTTGTGTATCTATATCTATATACAAGAGAGTTTGCAAAGCAAAGAAAAATTCATAAGCAAACCAAAAAGAAATGGATGAAGAGCAAGATAAATTGTTGCCTATTGCCAATGTTGGTCGGATTATGAAGCAAATCCTGCCACCAGCTGCCAAGATTTCCAAAGAAGCAAAACAAACAATGCAAGAATGTGCAACAGAATTTATAAGTTTTGTAACTGGTGAGGCATCTGACAAGTGTCAAAAGGAGAATCGCAAGACAGTGAACGGAGATGACATCTGTTGGGCTCTCAGTTCTCTAGGGTTCGATGACTATGCTGAGGTTATAGTAAGGTACTTGCATAAATATAGAGAAGCTGAAAGAGAGAAATCAGCTAACCAACACAAATCTTCTTCCACTGACCAAGATATTGAAGAATCCAACCATAAAAGTAGCCAACCCCAGCAGCAAATTGAAGCTCCTAACGGGATAGAATTTAGGGTTCTTGATAAGGGCAACAGCAGCTCTTTCAAAAACCCATCCTGAGAATAATTGCTCAGTACTCTTTACAACATGAAGAAACTGAAGAAGAAGAAGAAGAAGAAGAAGAAGAAGAAGAACATGAAGATAATGATGAACAAAAAAGACAAAGGGATTTGTAGATTTACCTGCCTTGTAAAGACTTGGATCTCTTGACAAGGTGTAATATTTGCAGTTTTTGGCTGATAAAAGCTTTGGCTCACTCTTGTGTGAAGTCAGTTACTACTCTTGAGGTAATGTTTAATCTTTCTCCTGAACTAAGGGTTTCTTTCTTATTTATTCCTTTTCAGTGAAGGAGAGAAATCTGTATAATTTTAGCTATATTATGCTTTAGATGGCGTACTTCACTTAATTAACAAAGTTTTTGGTTCCAACATCTTCATGTAATTTCTAGCTTGATGCATGTGATGGTGATTGATGAACACACACACACACACCACTAACAAGGTAGCTTGTTCATAAGTACTGTACATATTAGATGTAGTTTCGCAATATAGATTTTAGAAATCAGACCTATAAGAACTGTTCTACTTAATTATTCTTGGCTAATCAAGCTATATTAGAACTTCTTTAATTTGTTGCTTTTGAGTAAGAACACCTCTAATTTGTCTGTTAATTCATTGATTTCAGAAAGTAAGGCAAGTTCCTTAGATTGCAGGAAAAGCCTTATTTTCATGGTGAATATATTGAAAGCTAATTTTCTTTTCAACTCCCTACCACTAGGCAAAATAATTTTGTTTCTTCTTTGTTCTTTATAGCAGCAGTTCAGCATTCTCCTCCTTTCTCACTGTCTCACAGACACATTCACATCTATCTGTTTGTTGTGCATGGGTGAAAAGCAGCACTGTACGTTCTTGTTCATAAGTTGTGTCTTAGCTCAAGCAGTACTAGTTCTAGTATACCTTGATGTTGATTTTCTTTTGTTTTTTTGGCTTTTTTTAATGATAAGTCGAACTGGGTTAAACCAAGGAACTAATTGATATTACTGGAGAGGATAGACAAAGCCACCCAAAAATTCAAACACTGCCTTTGAAGCAAACAGTACTAGTTTTGTGCTCATTAACAGATCCAGAAGTTGACTCAGTTACTGATAGTTTAGCTAAAAGTGTCTTTTGCAAGATCACAGGACTTTTTTGCTTGGCCTTAATGCTATATCTCCTTGTTTGGCATTTCTGTAACTTTGCTTGGCTTCTGCCACTCTCTAGATGGCATCTCTATGCGTAATCTTGATTCCTTTCTATATAATTCAATCTCGCGCGCTGATATTCATCGAAAAGAAAACCAGACCAAAAGACAGCAACAGCAGCTTGGTAAAACCAGCTGTACTAACTGTTACGTTCATCTATTTCCATAAATCCTGATGTTGAATCATGCTTCTAAACAAGCACGCCAATCTATAAGGCAATTCAATTCCATTCATCATCATTGAGTGGAGATTTTATAAAGTACATTTCGAGTGTTCTCCAACAGCCAGAACTAATTCACGAATCCATTAATTATCCTCCCATGGTTGTTGACTCAGTTTTGTGCTCATTAACAGATCCAGAAGTTGACTCAGTTTCTGATAGTTTAGCTAAAAGTGCCATTTGCAAGATCACTGGACTGTTTTGCTTAGCTATAATGCTCTCTCTCCTTGTTTGGCATTTCTGTAACTTTGTTTGGCTTCAGCCACTCTCTAGATGCCATCTCTATGCGTAATCTTCATTCCTTTTTATATAATTCAATCTCACGCGTTAGACAAATAGATAGTAATAGCAGCTTGCTAAAACTAGCTATAGTCATAAGAAAATAATATAAATCATATCTTTAAATTTCATATAATAGCTTAAGCTTTTAAATGAGATAGTCTTTTGATATGATATCGAATTTTAGTGACCAAACGGTTGCGAATTCAAATCTCATCATCTCATTTTTCTTCTTATTAATTAAGCACAAAATAGAATGGACTTATGTAAGTTTCAAGCCCATAGGATTTTCACAATTGTGAGACTACATTAGAGAGGCCAAACGACTTTCATTAGGGAATAATATAAATCGAGACCTTACCTAATAATTTAAGTTTTTGGATGAGATAATTATTTGACAATAGTAACTATTATTTCATATATTTTCATAAATCCTGAAGTTGAATCATGCTTGTAAACAAGCATGACAACCTATAAGGCAATTCCATTCATCATCACTAAGTGGAGATTACATAAAATCATATGTGGGAATGAGGGGGACAATAGAGATTTGATCAAATCATATGCGCAAGGACATAAGTTTCAAGAATTTCCTTCATGTAGATACCTACTTCCTCTCGCTCATTTACGCACAGCACTTTCCTGAAAAAGAAGTAGCTGAACCTGTTCATTGTTTTGATTGTTCCTCTGGAATACAAGTGAAGTTACTAGATGCACAATAAATTAGTCACTAAAAAAGATTACATAAGTACTCGCTAGATTCAGAGTTTGCATAACCCTAGAATCGGGACCACTAATATTGAGGCTTTACATAACATGTTTTGTCGTGAAAATCCAATCGCAATCTGAAGCATGCTTATTTTTTACTATATCAGTAAATGGATTGGTAATCTCCCCATAAAAAAATGATTGATAGAATCCTGATAATTAATGTTAGAAATTGAATTAGGGTTTCAAACTTCAACATACAAACAAGGGCTTCACTGAGCTATTTGGGACCACTTCTCAACTATCTTCTGTTTCGACAAAAGATGGAATCTTAGTTGTGCTTGATAGAAAAGGAAAAGAGGAATGGAAAGACCCACTTAAAATTGTTTCCCAACAAAATAAGAGGAAACATAGTTGATATGAGACCATGTGAGAGACAAAAGCTGAAACCTGAAAACATTCTAAGTACCAAGTATGCCAATGCAAATAACACTATTAAGGGTTTTCTTGATAGAATGAATTATTTGATAACCTCGAAACTCTGGGACCAACTATGTCAGTGCAATATTAGGTTCTGACATTCTTGATAGAATGGTTTCAATCAATGCTGCTTCCATAAGCTCCGACCACGAATCTCGGCATTGAGTTTCACAACATGGTTGCACCGCATTGCTCGTTAGAAAGCACCGGCAACAGTGAATCTGAATTAAACTAAACCGAGCAAGCACTGGACCACATTTTGTGCACCAATTTTACAGGACAGAGGGTAAAAAGATGATGGGTTGTTCATGTGCAATGAAGCAGCTTGGCTTAAGCAAGCGCACATTATTGCCAATTTTAGCGAGCCCTAAGACATAAAATTCAAGAGCTGCATTGGTCTTTCAAGTTTGAAAACAAAATCCAAACCTTAATCCTCAATGGTCCCAGGAACTAATATGAGGCAAGCCATAATACACCAATGCCAATACGTATGCACAAACATAAAGGATGTCATGCACAGCATGAACATGCCAATACTTCTGAAATATTATAACTAAGAAAAGGATGCTGATATAACGTAGCTCTGACTGAAACAAACAGCTACAATCACTTCAAATTGAATTTCATAAAAAAACCTCCACCATCAACATTATCAAGAGCATAAAACAAAATATCTTGGTAGCTGTATAAGCAAGTTTTGTTCTTTCTTGTGGGTTGGGCAGAAGTACATGGCTCCTTCCAACACCTCATCCTAAAATTTCAGAGGAGCTTCCTACATATAATGAAAATGTTTTCATCGCGGCAAAGTGACAAGCTTGATAATTATAGTACTTTGGTCTAATTAACAAAAGCAATTTATCATTCTTTGATATTCCTGACATTTCACATTTCACATTCAACAGCAATTCTACGGTAAGGGAAATATGTAATGAGCCATTAAGAGCATTCATGATTTAAAAAAAAATCATGTAATTCGATTAATGAAAGCTTCTACAAATCCCCAACCATCGTCTATATCTGGTCCCATCCAATAACCAGTTATTGTTTTGTGAGTACAAGAACTTACATGCATACAACTAGAAACAAGTTCGTAAAAATGGTTGGCAGGAGTTGTTAAATATCCATCACAGCAGCTCTGATTCACAGAAAGTATCTCCCTAATTGAGTTGCAGGGGAATAAATGTTTCATTGCTGTAAACAAAAGTTGAAGTTATATAAGAGAGCAAGTAATCTTTCAAATCTCAATCCATAGTGCACTTCTAATTCAACACAACATATTATGTTATAACAGTTACTTATTTTCACAAGTTTATGTTACCATGACATGCAAAAATGATAAAAAGAATCAACTGAAGGTGATAAATCATCTTGCTTCAACTCTTTTTGGTAGGTGGCATGAAATTAAGATACCTGTCCCAGTTGTTGCTAGGATTGAAACTCTAGTAAGAGCTGATTTCCTTAGTTGTAATTCCTGGGAGGACAATCACAAAACAGTTGCAAAGCACAAATTTATTAACTCAAAACAATAACTTAAGGAATGCAACGTGGTTGTACAAAATAATATGTGGTAAGTGATAACTTTTATGCAAAAACCATTACTTGTAGTTGACAGGTCTAAATCACCATGAAACAGCAACCTCGTATGTGCAAGCAATTATAGTTATGAACATGCCACCAAATACAAAAGGTCAGGTATTGTTTATGGATGAACATGTGATGCTGACTATTGGCTTAAACCAACTTTAAGATCGAGGGGGTGCAGTCTACACTGCCAGAGGAAATGCATCATGATAGAAGAGTTTTCTCCGAGCTCATACTAAAAAAAAAAGGTAAACGTAGTTGAGAAATGACTTTTGAAGTATGGGGGACTAAACAGAATCTCACCTCCTTTGATTTCTTTGTTTTTTCTTTCATTTTATATTCCTTTATTGAATTGCAGTAATTTCAGCCCTGGCTTGCTCTATCAAAAAAGAAAATTGAGAGAGAAAAGGCAGTGTCCATAACTGTCCCCTATACAGAACAAAAATCCCAATCTATTGATAGGAAGATCTTCGGCAAATACCAGACTGTCCTTTTTTTTTTTTTAGGAATTCCTCATATCCAAGGCAGCCTATCACAAGCACCCCTCCCCATACGACTAGTTGGGGTGGGCTGTTACCCTTTTTTGAATCAAACAAAATAAGAAGTAGAGTTTAAGAGTAAGCATTAGACAATCTCCAAGATCTTTTTTTGTTTGGAAAAATAATAAAATATTTTACTATTTTTAGGCCACATATCATATTTTGACACGAAGAAATGAAGGGGTTTCTAGAAATTTCTCCAGATAGAAAAAGAATGCTTCCCTTCTATCATTCGATTGTGGAATTCAATCTTCCTTGGTCCAGATCGTCTACTTGTTTCTTAAAGCGAATTCGTATCCCTGAAGTGTAAAAGCTAACTTTGGATTTAATGTAGGTCTTATGTAATTTCTTCCATTTAATATGACCAGTATCCACAAACACATAGAGATCATAAAGAAGATAATAACCATCATTTGCCACAGAACTGTAAGGGGAACTCATTCAACCAATTGTTAGTTTTCGATTGCCAGTACTCCAGCTATATGGAGTACTGGCAAATATATAGTTATAGTCAATACTATGTAAAAAGTTGTTCAATCTCAAATCTTTTAATTGGCTTCTAATGTACAAATGTTTCTCCTCTCCAAACTTTAGGGCAGCAATGATTATCATGTACGAATACGGACTGTTCTACATGATCTCTTCCATCATAAATTTTGCTCTTCCAATGCTAGCCTTTTCATCATTTCCAACAACTGACTAATACTTACATCCAGTGCATTGCAATGTTCTATTCAAAATTTCAAAATGAGCAGGAATGTACAATAGTTCATCTCTTCTTAAACAGAATACACTCAAAGTATCCTTCAAAAGAACCATAATTTATAGTTCCTCTACACTTTCAGATAATACCACATAACTATCCTCGATCACATCCAAAATACCAACGAAATCAGACTTGAAGAACAACACTAACCCAACAAATTATAAACAGCCCAACCTCATTATACCCTCTCTAGCACTATTTTCCACCATAAAGTTAATTATTATTGTTATTATTATTAACAGAGACGGTACCCTGATAAAGTTTATTCCTTTGTGACAAAAACCAATCTTTTAAAAGACAAATCAGATAACAAAACAAAACCCACCAAATTATTTATTCAACTTAATAACAGCAAGTAATAAGGATTCACAGTTAGCAACGAGAGAGCCTTTCAGTTATGAAATTTCAATTCTTGCATCATTATAATGAAATGAAATAACGAAGAAATTCAAGAAGGACGAATTAAATATAACAACTGCTGCTTCTAAAAAGATGGGTATGAATGATTTTTTACCTTGAATGAGGATTTTGGTGCGGAGAGAGGCATAGGAAATCTGATTGAGACTAACAAGGATGCCATTGAAGCTTTTTTTTCCAGTGTAAGTGAAAGTGGAAGTGCCTGGGTTTAGTGGTTTTTGTAGGGGTTAAGAGAAGCGTTAGAAAGTATCAACGGCGCCGTTTTGGTGACCCAGTTAGAATTCGCGTATTACTAGGCGCATTGCCTTTTTCTTTTTCTTTTTATTTTCTTGGTTAAAAACAGAATTTGCAGTTAATTACGATTTAACATAAATATTAGAAATATTTTATTTTGTTCTCTAAATGCTTGGTTAAGTAAAATAGTTTAATATTATATTTTTTTAAGGTTTAGTTTTATCAGTAAGTGGTTATGTTTTCTATTATCGTATTTGACTTGAATCTTAATTAAATCATGAACTTTTTTTAATACAAACCACTTAATTTTTAATCAATTTTTCATCAATCAAAGCTGAGTTCGTCATTTTTTGAGCTAAAACAACATCAGAATATACATAATATTTTGTCAATTATTGAATTATTCTTACCTCAAATTAGCTAAAGTCTTATCCTAGTAAAGAAATAAATTAATTAGTCTCTTTCGTTTTAAAAATTATTATTTAATTATTTAATTATATTTAATTTAATATTATTTTTATTTTATAAAATCTTTTATTTTTAATATATTTTTATTTTTATTTTTATTAAAATAAAAAAATTAAATTAAATTAAAAAAAAGCTATAAAAAACTCAATTACAAGTAGATTTCAAAATATTGAAACAAAATGATTAGTTTTAAAAAAATAGGGATTAATTAATTCGTTTCTTGAAACAAGAGGGACTAATTTATAATTTACTGCTTCAAATTCACATAGATTTGGTTTTGGACGGCTGCTGTTTTAAATTTGGATCTAATGGCTGAGAAGATTTCAATAGTGCGTCGTTGGTTTTTTCTGCAATGGCAGTCAAGTCAGTCCCAAAATTTTATACCCTTTTTCATTGGACTTAATATTTTTTGGAAAAAACAATTCTAATTGATATTTTTCAGTGAATTTTAATAATTGCCGGTATTCTGTTGGCACTCTGTAATTGATAAAAAGCAGTGATCTGTGATGGAATTTGAAACCATTGTAGATAATGTTACAACATAAATTTTAGGACATCTAAAAGTAATAATCAGTACTTACATTCTCAATTCTTTTTCTCTCCAATCCATTGGATTTCTTATGAATGCTATCGAGCTTTCTAATTTTTCAAATAAAACTGTTTCTCATTATATATATATATATATATATATATATATATATTGGATTTTACAATTTAACGCTAGAGTTGTAAAACCATGATGGATATAAAATATATGGCATGATTAAGTATACCTAAAGAATTTAAGTTTTATTTCAATTATACCATCACAGCTTATATATTTTTTATATTTTATAATTTAAGTGTTTTAAACTTCTATCAATCCATAATTACGATGTCACATGTAAAATTCTCTCAAGCATAAAATCATTTATGTGGCTGGACATTCTCTGCCTTCTTTAAAGAAATATACTCATCTATATTTTATGGTGGCATGACTTGTAAATAAAATAAGTAGGTCATAATTGAAAAAAAAAATAGTATAAGTGGCAAATGATTTGACTTAAAATATGAAAAGTTTCTCGTGAATCATTAATCACGAAGCTTATTCTACTTTCTTACTTTTCTTTCATTTTTTAACTCTCAAATATAATCCTCATCTATGTCATAACAATTCACGAAAACATTTAAAACCTAGCAAAATTCTCAAAAACATAATTCAATTAATGATCAAGGGGAATATTCGAACCTTTTAGGAAATACAAGGGTAACATTGGAAAATTTTAAAATATCCGGATAGAACTGTAACATTGATAAACATACAGAGTAAAAGTAAAGTTTAGCCAACATTTTATTATTATTATTATTATTATTATCGGGATCGTGTCAAAATGGCCGCGTTATTTCCGTTGGCCGCGATTAAATTTTAGTACCCTCCCTTTAACTTTCAGTCTTCACAACACACGGTCACTCGCGGCCCTCCAGCCGCCCATTCAGCCACCAGTACAAAATTACCACCAGCCACCCGACAGGCCGCCACCAGCTACTTCTTTCATCTCCATTCTCCAGTCCTCTCGCATCTCCCTTTCTTATTCAAGGTAAGAATTGAAATCCACAAGTTTGTTTAGTCAACTTGGGAATGTAAAAGCATGGTATCAACTTTGTGTTCAAAGGCCCTCATATGTATTGTTGTCAATCAATAAATTGGCAGTACATAATTTTCTAGCTCTCTTGAATGCTCTAAATATTGTTGTCCCAATCCTAACTTTAGTACGGAGGATCAAAAGAGGGTGGCTAGTTAACAACTCCAGATGAGAACAGAACTTCGTCTCAGTCCTATATGTATTTTGGTTTTCCCTTTCATTGCATTTTTTCGATTCTCTGGGTCTTCCATTACAGTGATACTGTTGCAGATTGTGTCATTACCTAAACTTTAATCCAGCATAATCTTACTACACTTGCTCAGTAAAAAGAACTAAGAAAGCATAACCAATACATCTTGCTTGTATTGAAATGGTCTGATTTTCTTTGGTGAAGATTTAAATTTCTGTTCTGAATTTTTCATATAATCTGCCGAGTTTATTTGCTTCATTTTATTAGCTAACTGATTCTTGAAATCACGAATTATGGTAAATGTTGTTTGAAAAAAAAATCGGTTTTTACTGAAAAACTGAAATTTCGGTTTCATAAACCGGATGCAAATTCAGTTCGGGTTTGGTTTTTGTTTGGTTTTTCTTTTGGTGCATTTGGTTAACTGAAAACCGAATGGAAATGTTAAAACTGAAACCAAAAAACCGAATGCTCACCCCTAGTTATATCGTTTTGCTTAGGAAAATTACAGTGCTTTAACAAGTGGGAATTGTAGTTTATGCTACTTTTTTCCTTTTACTGAAAGCATTAAGTTGGAATTCATCTACCCCTCCCCCATTCTTAGCAAAGCTTCCTTTTACTCACAGAAGCAACCAAAAACCATAGCCATCCCCACCAGACTTATGCAAGAGGTTTTGCTCCTCGTATAGGCCCTGCCTTTGCTTTTGTTTATTGACAGACATAAGTTTTCTTAAGTACAGTAACAGGACTAGTGATTTCTACAATTACATCAGTATTGATATGATATTAATTGGAGGTGAAAATTTATATAAGAAATCTTCATTTTTTGGTAGAGGATTTATATATAGTTTTAAACTTCAAAATAAATAATAGAAAAACAGAAATGGAAATGATGAGAATAAAAAGTAAAAGTGAATAGAACCACAAAATCAAGCTTAGATGTTTCTCATTAAACTGATAGACGAAATAGGCAGCCCTTATTATCTAGCGCAATCTAATAGCAAACCAGAGAACAGCTCAGACATAACTGAACTAGCTAAACAGCTCGTCAATCTCCATTAGTTCCATGGTCAATGTAATGCTCCCTTCACGTTTGTAGCCTGGACCTTCAAGCTTGGTAAGTCTGAAAGCCCCTTCTACCGGGGATGAGAGTCTTGGCAAAGGGATCTTTAATTTGCCCACCAAGACCTCCCCTGTAGAGGTTCCTGGGTCAGATTTGGGGTGGGTTCTAATTACTTCCAAGTACAGAGACCTGCAATCCCTAGGATTTTTAAATGGAATCCTAAACTGGTGCAGCCACAGAGGGTCTACACCATACAGTTCTGGTGTTGTGTATCTATTTCCAGATTCAACCCAAGATTCAACCTTATAGATCCTATTATCAAGATCAGAGTTAAGGCTGTCTATTCCATTGACCTGTATGATGGTCAGAATTAAAAAGATGCCAGAGTCATAGTAACCAAAACCGTCATCTTTAATTATTCTTCGCCTCTTCCACATGTCTAAATCACAGCCATCGCTGTCGGAATTGCTTCCGGTACGCTCCATTTCAACCTGTTTGCAAGAAATTAACCAAATAAACTTAAAGGGGAGAGAAGAGTTCTTACCCTATAAAAAAGTGCAGAAACTTACTTTGGGGGGTGGCCTAACCGCTTGCGTTGTTGACCGTGAAGAGAAATGTTGGGGGGAATGAATTAGCCATCTCATGTAAGAGTATTTAAAATCTAACAAATGTGATGAATATGGAAGGTCACTAATGAAGGTCTTCCTTTTAGAGTATTATTGTCTAAAAAGGAAGATAATTAAAAGATATCCAATTAGACAAGGTAATCTTATTGGAAAAATGAACGTATGTGTTTAAGGCTATCTACGTTTACATGTTTTGGTGTGTGTGTGTGTGTGTGGTGGGGGGGGGGGGGGTGGGCGGGGTGTGGACAGGAAAAAGATAAAGATTACAGAGCCTTGTATGAGATAAGAATAGACGGTTACCATTTGAGGGACTGGTACAGTTAATGTGAAGAGGGCAGTATCTGCATTGCAGTATGAGGAGTTAGGTGCGAACAAGAGCACGGCACAACATAGTATTTTTACAATATGCAATGCTATACATACAAACAAATTATACAAATTTTTCTTACATACTTATGTGGCAATTGCTCTTTTTATCTTGAACCATTTAATAATTGTGAGGCCCTCAATTCACCATTTGTCACTTGCCACATCTGTTTGTATGGAGTTTTATTATGATTTGTTTGTATGCATGGAATTTTCCTTTTATTATTGTAATTTATTTATTGTTAAAAAATTAACATAATATGGTGTGCTTGCATCTTTGATTTTCTACATCCAATTAACGTCATGAGTGTGGTGTGCAACAACTCAATGTATAACAAATACACAAAGTTTCCATACAAACTTATGTTGCAATTGCTCTTTGTATCTTTCAACCAATCATTTAATAATTGTAAGACTCTCAATTCACCATTTGTCACTTGCCACATCAGTTTGTATGGAGCTTTATTATGATTTGTTTGTATGCATGGAATTTTCCTTGTACTATGGTTTTATATTTATTGTTAAAAAAATAACATAATATGGTATGATTGCATCTGTGATTTTCTACATCCAACTAACTTCATGAGTATGGTGTGTAACAACTCAATGTATGGTATCCTAGTCTAAGTATTGATACTAATTGATTAAAATGCATGGTTGATTTTGTACTTCAACATTTGATGTTGATGCTATGTGATGGATGATAGTTCCATTGCATTTAATTTTCGAGCTTGCGTGAAGAGAGAGTAAGATGGGGAGGAGGATATTGAACGATGCATTGAGGGCAATAGTGAATGCAGAGAGGAGAAACAAATCTACTGTGGAGTTACGGCCCATTTCTACTGTCATGTCTTCTTTCCTTAAGGTCATGAAAGATCGAGGATATATTAAAACATTTCATGTTCATGATCCACATAGAGTGGGAAGGATAACTGTTGAATTACAGGGCAGGGTTAATGATTGTCGAGCTCTCACTTACAAGCAAGACATTAAGGCAAAGGATATAGAAGCTTACAGAATGCGAACCCTTCCCACACGCCAGTGGGGTTTTGTTGTGATCACAACTCCAGATGGTATATTGGATCATGAAGGAGCTATCAATCGAAATGTGGTAGGTCAGGTTCTTTTGTTATTTTCATTAGATGTGTGTTCTCTGTCATCTTTTCAGATTGTGAGAATTTGGAAGCACAAAAAGGTTATAATGTTTCTTGTTTTCTTTTCTTTTTGGGAGGGTAAATTAAATTTCAATTGAAGCCCATTTCCTCCTTTTTCTTCAAGTGAAATGAGTTTACTTTTGCTGTATCAAAATACCAGCCAATGGCTCCTTTATCATCTAGTCAAGTTCAGACTTCGCAAGACTTGAATGATATCATGGATGTGACAAAGCATGCTCTTGAGAGGTTCAGTAAGATTGTATCCATGAAAAACGGAGGAGATTATGAAGATATGAGAACAGAATAGGAATGACATCATTAGCAGCTGGATTAAGCTCGATTAGCTGCTATATCTGTTTGGATATCCATGGATCATCAGCTGTATGGTTTGTGTTCTTTTTTTTTTTTTTTCTCCCTCGGATCAATGATGGCTAGTGGCTGCTACATGTATCTGTTGCACAACTTGAAGCATTTTGATTTTGATTGCCATTGGGAGCTCTTCAAAGTGATAATGCAAATTACGGGTAGTTTTCTCTGTTCTTTAATCCCTCTTGTTCCAGGTATGAAGTAAATTCAATTTGTTATTGCTTGGGACCATGAGAATTAGCATGCACACAACTCATGTATTTGCAGTAAATCATCTGATTTTGGGTAGAATATCAATCTTTTTCGTGAGGAAATGACTTCATTGAAAAAAGAAATGTTGTTTGCTTTATTTCTTTTCTTTTTTTGAATGAATGAAATTTTTACTAATATCTGACCATCTTATGATTATTTAGAAAAAAAAAAAAGAAATATATCATTTATGCCAATACTGAAAGACACATGTTTCGTCAATAAATAAATAAAAGGCAGATGTGAGCCTAGACGTAATGACATAAATCCTGGAAAAACTCAACCTCAAGGGAGTCGGCCCAAACCAAAATTAACTAAAACTTTAGGCTCAATCTTTAGGGATAATTACACGTACACCAATTTTTAAAGCTTTTTCAAACGAATACATAAATTTTAATTTTTTTATGTTAATATATTGATTTTTTCAGAACTACCAATTAATTATTTCATCCAACTTCAGTTAATTGTTTTATTTTATAATGATTTGTCTTTTATTTTAAACTATTGAATTTTGATTTTGCTCATTTATTTTTGAAAAAAAAACTCTCTCAAATTGCTGTCATTTTTTTAATAGAGAATAGAGTGTATTGGACTAGTAGAGATAATATAAGAGTATATTAGGCAAAAAAAAAGCTTAGCTAGTTTTGCTTTTATTGATAAATAACTTTTATATATATATAGAGATATAAAAATAAATATATAAGATAGATAACGTAAACCATGACGTCTACAAACTAGATGGTATAAAGTATAACGCTAAACGTAAAAGTATAAAGTAAAAGTATAAATTAAATGATGTAAGCAATGATGTAAACCAAACATTTACATCATTGTTGACATAAACTAATGTTATTATCACACTATTGATAAATAACGGTTCCTTATATAGAAATATAAAAATAAAGATATAAAATAGATAATATTAATCCTAACGTTTATAAACTAGATAAGATAAACTCTAACGTAAAAGATAAGAACACATAAGTCATGATGTGAGAAATTTTATAATACTCAAAGATAACTATTGTACATGTACAATCATTACTCTATGGGTTCACTTTTGAAGAGAGAGATAGACCCATAAAAAATATATATATATTATATACGGATTTATTAAAAGTGATAAGAATATTTTCACATTAGCTTAATTTTTTTTAATATTTTCTCTCTTTACGGAGTAATTTATAATAATTACTCGATTAGTATTATAAAATTTCTCATCACGATGTCAATAGAATATCTACATCATTGCTTACGTAAGCTAACATTATTATTACACTATATCCAAAAAGAACAAAAAAGCAAAATCAAAATTTTGTTGGTCAAGATAATTACAAATCATTAGAGTTGAATGAGAAATACTTAATTTATAGTTTTGAAAAAATAAATATACTCGAATGAAAAAAAAATTCATACATTCAATTGAAAATTTTTAAAACTTGATGTAATTAGTACAATTATTCCTTTTCTCCCCTCTATTGGTAAAAGCACCCCTTCTGTCTCTCTACTAACCATTAGAGAGAGAACCTCTTCAGGTATGTCTCTTTCTGTCAAACTTATATATTTGTATGTTTCAATTTAGGTTGATGATTCTTGATTCTTGTTTGGTTGCTGAGAAAATTGAGGGATAGAAAGAAAGTTTTAATTTTTATGGAAAAAATGGAATTGAAGTTAAAAATCTTGTGATTTACGTTGGTTATTGATCCAATTAGAATTCTCCAACTGCTGGGTGGCAATGCTTCTCTTTTCTTCTTCTTTTTTCTTTCTTTTTAATTTCTTGATTAAAAACAGAATTTGCACTTTTTAACAATTTAACATAAATATTAGAAATACTTTATTTTGTTCATTAAATTTTTGGTTACATAAAATAGTTTAATGTTTTTTTTTTTTTTTTTAAGATATAGTTTCATAACCTGTATTATCATACGATTTGAATCTTACAACTATTTTTAGTATATATGTGTGTGTAATCAGGTATTTTCAAGTTAATTTTTGTATCAATTAAAATTAAGTTTATTATTTTTTGGATTATGTCAGAGTTAGAATATACCTAGTTTTTTGCTATTGAATTATTTTATGGGTCAAATTAACTGAACTATCTCTTAAGTCAAACTAGCAGAAAGCTTATATCCATAAATGATAACCTTTGTCAATAATGAAAATTAAATCTTAATAATGGTGAATCGAAAACATTATCCTTATAGCTAGACTACAATATGCTACAGTCATCCTTAAAAAAAACACATGGTTATTTAATATGATACGATTTTCATTGACTTTCAAATTTGACCAATAAGAATAAGATATTGAAATTTTGGGCTCTATATATATATATAAGAGGAAAGAACTACAGAAATAAATACAAGCGTTAATGCCTAATGGTAATTCCAACTATCGAAGGAAATTAAATTTCCGGGAAGAAACAAAAACAGTGATCCATCTGGGAAATTTAATCGAGCGGGCTTATTATATTCATAGTCGGGATTGTGTTGGGCTCTGATCAGACTTTCCGTTCAAATTAATAGCTGCGTGGCCCAACTACATTGGGCAACAGAAGCCTTCAGCCCAACTTTCTCCTGGATTGGTTGGTTCAAGCCCATGGGCAATTGCGCTTTTTAATTCTCTTCAAATTCACATTGTTTTGATTTTGGACAGCTGGCGTTTTAAATCTGGATCTAACGTCTGAGAAAATTCCAATAGTGTGTTATTGACTTTTTCGGCAATGGCAGTCAAGTCAATCCCAGAAGTTTATACTTTTTTCATTTTATTTAATATTTTTCAAATTGTAATGATTGGTGGTATACTATTGGCACTTTGTAATCAATTAAAAAAAAAATCAGTTATTACAACATTTTTGTCTTTTTTTTTTAATTGTTAGTATAGTCAACAAGCTTGTCGTGATCAAAAGAAAAAAAAAGTTTAATAAAAAATTTTTAAGGTCGATTATATTTTTTTCCTTATAATTTCACTGAATTTCCACTTCTAATCTTAGTTTTTAAATTTTCCTAATATCACCCTTATGCTTTCTAAAAAGTTTTCATTTTCCTCTTCACTGCTAAATAACTAACAAAAGTGGGTATTTTCTCATACTTTTATTTGCTTTTTTTAATTTTTTATTTTATTTTATTTTTTTTACTCTCAAATATAATCCTCGTCTATATTATAACATATCACAAAAACTTTTGAAACCTAATAAAAAGCTAAAGAACATAATTCAATTGATGGTCAAGGGTAATGATCAAGGAATATTGGAACCATTTAGGAACTATAAGGGTAACATTGGAAATTTTTAAAATATATGGATAGAACTGGAACATTGATAAATATATAGAGTAAAAGTAAAGTTTGCCCAACATTTTATTTGAAATTTCTTCATCCGCATTGATTTTTCTGTTCCCTCTCTTTGGAGTTACAAAACGACATGAACTTGACAGCTGTTTTTTTTTCGGGGATCGTGTCGAATTGGCATTGTTATAAGTTAGTCCCTCTTATTTTGAGAATGAATTAATTAGTCTCCTTGGTTTGAAAAATTAATTATCTAATATTACCAGACTATGATTAATTTAATACTTTTTTATAAAATATCTTTTTTCTCATTAATCTCTCCTCATTTTTATTTTTTATTCTTTTCTATTGATTAAAAAAATTAAAATAAATTTAAAAATAGCAAAAATGACTAAATAATTAGTTTTTGAAACTAGCAGGTTGATTATTTTGTTTCTCAAAATGAGAGGGGTTAATTTATAATTTACTCCTATTTCCGTCGGGCATGATTGGTCCTGCCGTACAGCCTTTTTTTAATTTAAATAAACAACTACAATTATTAAAAATAATTACAAACAGCAGCAAAGATAGCTATGAAAATATCTTTCTTCTCCCATCTCTCTGCCTCACTCTCGTGGGTCAAAGCTGCAAATTGGTTTTATCGACGAGACAGCAATGCCCAAGTGATATAAAAATACGATAATAAATAACAAGAAAGAAGGTAGCTGATTGCAATGGAAGTTATTGCAAAATATTATCAGGCATTTTTCATATTCTTCGGCTCATAAAAAAAAAGATAATAAATAATTATAATAATAATTTTTTATATATATTTATAGATATAGATAGTAAGATATTTTTTAATTAGTTTCGAATTATTTTTCATTGAATGCATCATTTGTTGAGATAAATCGAGTATCAGAATACATTTAATATTTGATTAACTATTAAGCTATTTTTTAAATCAAATCAACTCAATTTTAGTACAATAAAAGAATAATTGTGATTAATTATTCATAAATAATAAAAATTTTATTCTATTTTTGATTAAATTAAAAAAAATTATTCATAGATTCATCTTTTAGTGGTTTTGTGACAATGAATTAAGAGAATAATATTTATAATTAATACTAATTAATTTTTTGTTGCTATAACTTAAGTTGCGTACTTGCAAAAAAACGAGAGGTGAATTTTAAGGTGATCGTAAAAATAATCACTAATAATAGATCCCATTGAAATAAAATCGAATTTCATTATGAAGGAAAAAAAAAACACTTTGATGGTTCCAATACGCTAGAATTCGAAAAAAAAGAAAAAAAATAGAAAATTTTGGTGCTGAATAAAAAAAAAAAAGCAAAAGTGAGAATTTCTCTTCCCTGAACTCATCTTTACCCTTTTTTTTAGCATTTATGATTTAACCCTATTTTTAGAGCTAAGTATTAAATTATTAATTACTAACATTTACTCATTCCTAAAAATTATACCAAACACAAATAGCTGAGATGAAAAAATCACAAACTTTTTTACCGTCGTGACCAGCACAGTGTCTTCTTGAGTCAGCAAGTTGACTCGGTGGCCTCCAGGGAGTGCACAGATCCTCCCTTATGCATTTTCCACCCTGTTATTATTATATTTTTCTCTAACTGAAAATAAGATCGGCTAAAGATACCCAAAGCATTAGGTGGCTGGATAGGTAAGGTGGGTCCGAGTCCATTCAGCCACCTAATTATCTGAGATGAACCGAAGTTGATTTTTTTTGTTTTTTCCGCCATTTGTCGTTTAAATATGGAGTAAATTATAAATTAATCCCTCTCGTTTTAACAAATAAATTAATTAGTTCTCTTTGTTTTAATTTTTTTTACTTTTAATTTTCTCAATAATTTAATCATTTTGTCAGTTTTTTATACTATAATATTTTTTATTCTCAAATTATCATTTTTTATGTATTATTTCTTCTTTTTACATGTTTTTTCTTCCTTTTTCTTTCTATCAAAACAAAACTTATTTATCTCGTAAAATATCAACTTTTTATTTTATTAATCTACATTCTTTTTTTTTTCTCAATTGTTAAAATATATCCCTATAGCTAAGTATATATATATATTTGACGGACCCGATAAAAAATCTAACGAGTGAAAGATTAAATAATTAATTTTTAAAGTAAAAAAATTAATTTATTTGCTTCTCAAAACAAGAGAGACTAATTTATAATGTACTATTTAAATATGGATTAAATTATAAACTAGTCCTTCTAGGTTTTATAAATGAATTAAATAATCTCTCTATTTTTTTAAATAATTATTTAGCTCTTATGTTTTAATCTATTTATAATTTAATATTTTTATTCTTTTTAAATTTATTTTGTTATTTATTTTAAAATAGAAAAAGAAAAAAATAATTAAAAAATATAGAAGATTGATGAAAACAATAAGACATTGTTTAGAAAAAAGAATGTTAAGTTAATCATGATCTCAAGAGACTAATTAATTAGTTTTTTTAATTAATTATTTAATTCGTTTTACTAACCAGAAGGACTAATTTATAATTCACTCTTGCATATGTCACAGAGGTTCCAAATTCTAACGATATTATTGAGAGGCATGCGGGCCCAAGCTATGAGCTGGAGAGGATGAAATGATTAAGAGAATACAACCTATAATTCTGTCCCTGACATTATAATCATTAATAAATAAGTCCTCGACGTCTAAAGTTTTGCTAATATCTCTTCCCTTTTTTTTTTTTTAACGTATTCGTTCATTTTTCATTCATCATCATAAAATTACGAAATTTAATTATAAAACTTGCAAGAAAATTGAGTTTATGAAAATCACTTAAATAAATAATGCTCTATTTTTATATTTAAAGTACACATCCATGAAAAAAAAGCATAAATTAATTTTTTTAAAATTACAACTACATGATCTTTTTTTTTGTAATTAAATTCAATGATTGAATATAATAATAAATTAAAAATAATATCACTAACAACAAATATCAATTTTTTCATTTTAATTAAAGTTAGCTTTGTTATAATTCCTTCCTATTTATCAATCAAAGAAATGATAAAACAAAATCCGCATGTCTCGATGATATCAACTTAATTTATATATATATAGTGGTTATATTTGATTTAAAAGTTAATATGTATTTTTGTTATTTTTCTCTATATTACCTTTTTCTTGTCTTATAACTTGAATTTCATAATTTTAATATAATAAAAAATTCCTTTCACTTATAAATTCTTTCAAAATTCCTTATAATATAATACAAAATGAAAAAAGAACACGAAATTCATTTTCTTGACTATGTATCCACGGTCTAATTATAATATTAAAAGATTTACATTTTTTTTCTAAGTGTTTTACTATTTAATACAGCACGGTAATGAAACTGACGACGGATGGATTTGTATGATACAAAATTAGCAAGATTTTGAAAATGGAGAACTGATCTGTTAATGAGTATAGAAATGGGTGACTGATTTGTAATTAGCCCAATGATTGATTGATGTGGTCTTTAAGACTTTTTTATTGTGGGACCCATCAGGAAAAAGTCTCCCTGGAACTATTTATTCTACGAAGAAGATTGTTTAGTTTAGGTAGATAGATCCAGACCAAACAGTGTCCATGTTCCAAATTTTACTTTGGAGAGGGACTGTCGGTGCATGTCTGTACCGCTGCATGGTAACACATCACTGTCTCTCACTTCTCCAATTGGTTGTTTACCGTTGATGACTTCAGCTTCTCCTTTTTTTCTACACCAAAAAAATCATCCATATCTCCTTACCGACACTACATTGAAAGCTCCCTGCCTCCTGCTTTGCTGCTGTCATTGTCGTTAAAAATCTCTCCTCTTCCAAAAATAAAGAGGAGAAGCTAGCTGGAGAGGCAACAAGGTTAGCCCTAGTCTTTGCCTGCTTTGTCTTTGTTTTTGTCTTGTTTTTGTATGGTTTTCCATTTGGATCTCCAAATACGGCAAGGAAATGGGAATTTTACTTTTTTAAGTAAAAGAAAAGGTGACTGACTGACCTTCATTTCCCACCAAGTTTCCGGTTTCTGCAAAACAGAAATTCAAAATTCTACTACTTAAAAAAACTATGTTGTTTGAGTAACGACTTGATCATCAAAATCTTGGCAAGATTCAACATTTTGTTGTAAGTTAATCATTTTTGGATGTGGGTTTTTACTTTTATGCTGAGTTGTGTTCTTGATTTAGTTCTAGCTAAGATGTTTTTGTGTTGTGCCTTTGTGGGGTAGAGAAGTTTGGCATGTATTAGGACCTGTAATCAATCAAATGGAGTGGCTGGGATTATTCATGTTTATGGATTAAAATAGAGAAAAATAATTTGAAGACTTGATTGTGATTTGATTGAGGGGGAGTTTTTAATTAATTGCTTGATTGTTGTTGATTGAAAACAGAAGGGCAAGCAAGAAAGATGAGTAGTTGTTTGACTGCCTCTCTTTTGGCATCAAATACCATCATAAATTAAGAACAACAGAATAAGAAAAAAACACATTGCTGCCGACAGTTTGAAACTGGAATATTCCACAATGGAAGTGAGTTCAGGTTTGGTGGCCGGCTCTCACAATAGGAATGAACTTGTTGTTATCCCCCGCGATGGAGAATCTGCTGTAAGCAGCTATTCCTCTTTCTCTACTTCCATTTCCTCTCCTTCAGTTGATCTTTTCTCAATTCCTCATTTTGCTTGTTAATTTGATTGCAGCCAAGATCGTTAGAGAGAGTGAGCAGGAAAATATGCCACATATGTGGAGATGACGTGGGGCTAACGGTAGACGGAGAGCTTTTTGTGGCCTGCAATGAGTGTGCCTTCCCCATTTGTAGAACTTGTTATGAGTATGAGCGTAGAGAAGGAAATCAAGTCTGCCCTCAATGCAAGACTAGATTCAAGCGTCTCAAAGGATGTGCCAGAGTCGATGGGGATGAAGAAGAAGATGACATTGATGATTTGGAAAATGAGTTCAATTTCGATGGAAAGAGTAGCAACAGACTTGATATGCAGCACCATGGTGGTCTTGGAAGACCTGAATCTATGCTTTACTATGATCCTGATCTGCCTCGTGACATTCATCATCCTTTGCCCCAAGTCCCTCTCCTTACTAATGGTCAAATGGTACCTAGCTCTGCTTCCTGTCCTGTCTTAAGGTTTTCAAAAAATGTTGTACTTAAAAAAACATGATCCGTAATGACTTGCAGGTTGATGAAATTCCTCCTGAACATCATGCTTTGGTCCCTTCATACATGGCTCCTGTTGGTGGCGGCGGAAAAAGGATCCACCCCCTCCCCTTTTCAGATTCTGCCCCTCCCGGTAATCATTTCTATATTGCCAACTGTTTCACTGCTTATTTAGTCAAATTGGAGGATGTTAGCCTTTCTTTCTTTTTCCATTGTTTTTTTTTTTTCGTAATTAAAAGCTCAATTGGCTGCTGCAGTGCAACCAAGATCCATGGATCCTTCCAAGGACTTGGCTGCTTATGGTTATGGAAGTATCGCTTGGAAGGAGAGGATGGAGAGCTGGAAGCAAAAACAGGACAAACTGCAGATGATGAAGAGTGAAAATGGGGATTATGATGGTGATGACCCCGATCTTCCATTGTAAGGCTTAGTACCAATGGCCATGGGAACTCACTGCTTTATAATTCCTTGCATAATTGATTGTCTTTAAGCTTTTTTATTCTTCTTCTTTCCAGATTAGTTGGCATGATTCTGTGATTATTATTCTTACCGTTCTTTTCTCTTTTTGCTAAATGATTCAATTGTTCAATCATAAATTTTGTTTTTGTCTGTCTCTCTTAATGCATAAAAGCTTTAATCTAGATTTTAAGGAAATTGAATTGTATGTAAAATAATATCAAGCACTGCATTCTTCACTATCAGTACAAGAGTCTTTATGCTGAAATGTTGGCAATTATTATAGACTGTAGTAGAAGCAGTATTCGTGGCAATTGCTCTTAGTTTCTTGTTTTTCGTTGCCTCCTTAAATGTGTACTCCTAGTTTATTATGTTTCAAATATCTTAAACAACACTGAATGTGGAAATAAAATTTATTTCTTGTGGATCAGAATGGATGAAGCAAGACAACCACTGTCACGGAAAATGCCTATTCCCTCCAGCCAAATCAGTCCTTACCGAATGATCATCATTGTTCGACTTGTAGTTCTTGGGTTTTTCTTCCATTATCGAGTCACACACCCCGTGCATGATGCATTTGCATTGTGGCTCATATCTGTTATATGTGAGATTTGGTTTGCTGTTTCATGGATTCTTGATCAATTCCCAAAATGGCTCCCTATTGACAGAGAAACTTATCTTGATAGATTGTCTCTGAGGTAAGAAGTCTACCATTTGCTTTTGGTTCCTGCAACTAAACTATAGGCAAGACATAAGCTGAACTCATGGCCCTAACTTGTTTGTCAGATATGAGAAGGAAGGCCAGCCTTCACAACTTTCTCCAGTTGACATATATGTAAGTACCGTTGATCCATTAAAAGAGCCCCCTCTGGTGACTGCCAACACGGTTCTGTCCATTCTTGCAGTGGACTACCCTGTTGACAAGGTTTCATGTTATGTTTCTGATGATGGTGCTGCGATGCTGACATTTGAGGCATTGTCAGAAACATCTGAATTTGCAAAGAAATGGGTCCCTTTCTGTAAGAAATTTAGCATTGAACCTCGGGCACCTGAGTTCTACTTTGCTCAAAAGATAGATTATCTCAAAGATAAGGTGCAGGCTTCATTTGTTAAGGAACGAAGAGCAATGAAGGTGATTAGGCTTCAAACAAAGTTTTCTTCTTCTGTCTCTTTCTCTCTCTCCCTCTCCCCCTTTCTTCTCTGTTGGCCGGTTTGTAAAATAACCCTATTACTCATTCCAATTGCAGAGAGAGTATGAAGAGTTTAAAGTTCGGATCAATGCTTTGGTTTCCAAGGCTCAAAAGGTCCCAGAAGATGGATGGACAATGCAGGATGGTACTCCATGGCCTGGGAATTTGGTTCGTGATCACCCTGGAATGATTCAGGTATGTGAATATTGATCCTTGTTTTATGTACTTCTGACAGTTATTCCATTCTCGAATAAACATAATTTTCCTCAATGCTTCATAGGTTTTCCTTGGCCAAAGTGGAGGGCATGACACTGATGGAAATGAATTACCTCGTCTGGTATATGTTTCCAGAGAAAAGAGACCCGGATTTAATCACCACAAAAAGGCTGGAGCCATGAATGCTTTGGTGAGTAACTCAAAAGGGAAAAGAAGTATGATTTTTCACACGTTCATATGAAGTTAATCGGGAAGCAACTTTTATTTAAATTCATGTGCTCATCTGTCAAACAGGTCAGAGTCTCTGCTGTGCTAACAAATGCACCTTATCTTTTGAATTTGGATTGTGATCACTACATCAATAACAGTAAGGCTATTAGAGAAGCAATGTGTTTCATGATGGATCCATTGCTTGGAAAGAGAGTGTGCTATGTCCAGTTCCCACAGAGGTTTGATGGTATTGACAGGAATGATCGATATGCCAACCGGAACACCGTGTTCTTTGATGTAAGCATTCATTTATCAGAAACTTCTGGATTGCTTACTGCTTCTGAAATTTATCTGTCTAATGCATAATTCCTCCACCACTACAGATCAACATGAAAGGTTTGGATGGCATTCAAGGACCTATATATGTCGGAACGGGGTGTGTTTTCAGAAGGCATGCGCTTTATGGTTATGATGCTCCAAAAACAAAGAAACCACCAACGAGGACATGCAACTGTTTGCCTAAGTGGTGCTCTGGATGCTGTTCTGGAAGGAAAAAGAAGAAGACAAACAAACCTAAGTCTGAGTTAAAGAAGAGGAACTCCAGAGCACTTGCGCCTGTGGGTGCTTTGGAGGGTATTGAAGAGGGCATTGAAGGTAACGTTTGTAACTAATTTGCTCATCAAATCCTGGACTAATCATAGTTCTATTTTCCTCCACTGTTTGGGTTTAATTTGAACTAAAAAAAAAACACTTTTGCTATTTATCTTCTGTTACTGAATCTTGACTATGATTTCTCACATTGATATTTTATTTGCTGATCGATTTCTTTAAGATTGCTAGTTTGTTGTTAGCAAAGGCTGATTCTAGAATGCAAATGTGATTACCGATTTTCATTGATATAAGTAAAGGACAATTCAGACATGTACTTTTAAGGAACTGCTAAGTGTTTGCAGTGCGATTTTAAACTAAGTTTTATATGACTCATTTGTTTGTATGCTGCCTGTTGAAGAACGTTTAATGTAGTAGTCCTCGAGCTTAACTTAGCACTTAATTTTTGTTGCTGGATTCATTTTGCTTCTTTTCTCTGCTTGTGGTCCTGGTCGTTACTGATTGTCCTGTTGGATCAATAATTTTGTCTCCTAAACTTGAAAAGCTTGAATTCAGGAATTGAAAGTGAAAATGTGGCCGTAACATCTGAGCTGAAATTGGAAAAGAAGTTTGGACAATCTTCTGTGTTTGTAGCATCTACCCTACTAGAGGATTGTGGCACACTCAAAAGTGCCAGCCCCGCGTCTCTGCTCAAAGAAGCCATCCATGTCATTAGCTGTGGCTACGAAGATAAAACAGAATGGGGCAAAGAGGTAAGAGAAATGTTTAAATTTACGTGTTGGATTCAAACCTTGCACTCGATATAATCAATATGACAAATTGGGTTTAGCTCACCATAAAATTGCTTTCGTTCTCCAGGTAGGGTGGATTTACGGTTCAGTTACAGAGGATATATTAACAGGCTTTAAAATGCACTGTCATGGATGGAGATCAATATACTGTATTCCTTCTAGGCCAGCATTTAAAGGTTCAGCACCTATTAATCTTTCTGATCGTCTAAACCAGGTCCTTCGATGGGCTCTTGGATCTGTTGAGATATTTTTGAGCAGGCATTGTCCTCTGTGGTATGGATATGGAGGGGGTTTGAAGTGGTTGGAGCGTCTGTCTTATATAAATGCTACTGTTTATCCGTTGACATCTATTCCTCTACTGGCATATTGCACTCTTCCTGCAGTCTGCTTGCTTACTGGGAAATTTATCACTCCAGAGGTATGCTATTTATAGCCACAGGAAAGGATTTTGTTTTATTTTAAATTCTGCTTAAAGTATGGTGTAAACTATTAAGATTTATTAATTAATCTATTTTTTTTTTTTTTGTTCAACTTGCAGCTCAGCAATGTTGCCAGCTTGTGGTTTTTGTCTCTTTTCATTTGTATTTTTGCAACCGGTATACTGGAAATGAGATGGAGCGGGGTTGCTATTGACGAATGGTGGAGAAACGAACAATTTTGGGTGATTGGAGGGGTATCAGCACATCTATTTGCACTGTTCCAAGGGCTTTTAAAGGTTCTAGCTGGAATTGATACAAACTTCACTGTGACGTCAAAAGGAGGAGATGATGATGAGTTCTCAGAGCTGTATGCATTTAAGTGGACCACATTACTCATCCCACCAACAACATTGCTGATAATAAACCTGGTTGGAGTCGTTGCTGGTGTCTCAAATGCTATAAATAATGGGTATGAGTCATGGGGACCTCTGTTTGGTAAGCTTTTCTTTGCATTCTGGGTGATAGTTCACCTTTATCCTTTCCTCAAAGGTTTACTCGGCCGACAGAACAGAACTCCCACGATCATCATTGTCTGGTCGATTTTGCTTGCTTCCATCTTCTCCCTTTTGTGGGTTCGAGTTGATCCATTCTTGGCCAAGTCAGACGGTCCCCTTTTGGAGGAATGTGGATTGGACTGTAATTAAACTAGCATGCATCAGGACTTGCTCTCCGGGCAGTTCGGCCTGTAATGCTGATAACAAAATGTCTGAATTGATAATCTTCAATCAGAACATGTGGTGGGGTGAATCCAGCCTCCAAGCTGTAGCTTGTTTGTGTGTTTTCTCGTGGATCTTTGTTTCGAACTTCTCATTCCTCCTCTTTGGTCAGTGAATTCCAAAGGGGTCAAGAAGATTAGCTGGCTGTTGTGCCCCTCTGCCAAAGTTTTCATTCGGTGGTATGCAATTATTGTGCAGAAACTACAAAAATACTCCTTGATTTTTTTTATTTATTTTTTTAGTTCAATTTGTTTATACAGGGGAGAGGAGTTAGGGTGAAGAACCACTGTATACTGTGTATTATTATTCTCACGAGTCTCTCATTTCCTCTAATCTATTTCATTCATAATAATGAAACAAAGTGGGATTTGTCTTGCTATAGTTGTTGTAAAACTACAGAAGCAAAGTATATAGTATTTCATACGATACCATGTGGCTCATTGTTCATCCATTTGTTTTTACAGCATTTCAAGAATCACTCCTTTTCGGTTTAAATCTCACACAGATATAATGACAACCAGTTTTAAACTGGAGACAAGATGTAGGAACTTGTATTGATTGGTTATAGTTAAGTAATGGTGTGCAATATATATATATATATATATATATATATATATATATATATATCGCTTGTCACTGTTAAAGGATTATTAACCATTTGAGGAAATGAATCTTAACTCATCATTTGACTCAGATCACTAAGAAAATATATCAAGGACTGATTAAAAGGTTGTTTATTTATGCCTCATGCAATTCAAACCCAAGTTTAAATGAAAACGAATTTTGTTTAGTGATATATTGTGGGTTATACAAATTATTATTAGGATGGTATTATACAAATCAATCTCCTATTAATGTTTGTTTCCTTATCTAGATCAATGGAAAACAAATGTAAAAACATAGTTATATTTAGGGGTGAGTAATTGTTTTTTTTTATTATTATTCGGTTTTCGATTAATCAAATTCATAAGAATAATAGTTCGATTTTTTCGATTTCGGCCAACAAATTTTAATTTTTGTATTCATTTTTTTTAATGAAAAACTAAATTTTATTTTAATTTTAATGAAAGATAAATGTTTGAGTATAAAGTTAAAAACTCAAGAAACTTTATGGCTTTTACAACAAAAGCCCATTGGAAAAACTTAAAATTAAAAAAAAAAAAAACCTATACTTTATACCTTTCATAACCGATAAATTTTATAATACATTAAGAGTAATTAGTGACATATATAGTAGTTACTTCATGGATTCATTTTTAGGAGAGAGATAGACACAAAAAAAAAGGAATAACTAATGACATATACGGTAATTACTCTATAGGTTCACTTTGAAGAGAGAGACGATACAAAAAAAAAGAGAGAAAATAAAAAAATTTAAACGGGCGTAGAAATCTTCTTATCATTTTTTAGGAATATAGATATAATTTCTCTCTTTTTTTGTACCTATCTTTTTTCTCAAAGTAGGTCCATGAGCTTATTTTTTATACTTTGACATATTCATCGTATAAATGGATAAAAAATAAGATGAGCACATTAAATGCAGATCATTTATTAGCTAGACATAAATTCCATTTAGGTTGAGTTGATGCTAACCTTTTAGGTTTATATTAATATTTTCTTCCTCGAGTTCTCTAGTTTGCTCCAACATCTCAATACACCCTTCTTTTTTTCTTTTTAATAAAGTAAACATAATGTTAATAAAGTTATTTTTTCTGTAAACTCCATGTGGACATGCTAATTACAGTTAATAACACAATCTTTAGAAAAGAAACCTAGAATTAGCAGCTCATATTATAACTTTGCATGTTTTTAATCAATGAATTTAGCATTTGTTTGTTGGTACTTGAAAGCATTATGAAGACGAAGCCGAAAGCCAGGCCTTTTTATTTTTCTTTTCAACAAGAGCCATTAGAAACTTGACACCTCCAGCGAACAACCGACACGAAAGGCGGCAGGCACTGACACACTGGTTTTAACTGTTTCAATCGACTCTTGCCGTCTCACTGAGGCTGCTGCTGCTGCAAAGGCACCAGACACTGACACAGCAGTAAAAAAGGCAATTACTTTTCTTAAAATCATCGAGTAAATTCTCCCTCTCCATGTTCAAGAAGTATATTATAAATTAGTCCATGTCATTTCCAAAAACAAATTAATTGTTCTCGTTTTAAAAATTAATTAATTATTTTTTATATTTTAATTCTGTTAATAATTTAATTTTTTAATCAGTTTTTTTTTTAGATTAGTGACAAAATATTATACTACAATATTTTTTCTTTTTAAATTATTTTTCATTTAATGTCTTATTTCTCTTATTTATCTATAATTACCTTTTATTTAATATCTTATTTCTCTGTTTTATCCATTTAATTACTCTTCATTTGATATCTTATTTCTTTTATTCATCCACAATTACCTTTAATTGTCTTATTTCTTTTTCTTTTTTTTTTATCCACTCTCTCTCTCTCTCTTCTCAACCATAACTTGATTTTTTTTTAAAAAATCACCATAATAGTTGAGAAAGAAACTAAATGAAAAAAATAAAAGAGATCACCATAATGATTGAGGGGAAAGAAAAAACGTAGATGAAAGAAAGATGAACATATATATATATATATATATGACAATTTGAAGGAAAAAATAATCTAACGAAAAACTAATTTAAAAAAAAAACTAAATTATTAACGAAATTAAAATACAAAGAACTAAATTTTAAGAAGAAAAAAGACTCATTAATTAATTTTCGAACAAGAGGGACTAATTTATAATTACTCCGTGTTTAGGAAACATTCCTTGTACAAACAAGACACTGTTTTAAACGTGCAAGAGAACCCTTACTTTTTTTGGATAAATCTGAAGATACCTACTGTAATTTACACATTAAATTCGTTTCAAACTTAAGAGGACACTACAAAATCATTACTAGAACAAAAAAATTCTACCCTTTTTCCCCCCTCTTATCCTGAAAATGAATTTTAGTCTGCACAAACATTTCACAGAACTTAACGAGATCAGTTGGATGTCCAATCATGCATCTAATACAGCTCACTAACAAAGAACTGGATATAACATACTTTATATACTCATAATATATAAACATCCACAAACTTCTGGTATTACATTAACACGTATCACATACACCAATGAACTGTAGTTCAACTAGAAACAGTGTCTCCTAAGAGATCTCAAATTCGAACCTTAAAAAAAAAAAACAAGTCTTGCCAATGATAATAATAATAATAATAAAAGAGAGAAAATATGTATTCTCATACACCAAAATTTCTTTTTTCATCGTCAAAATTTCCCTTCCAAGTCAGAACCCAATCTAAAAGCGAAAGACTGAAGGTCCATTTATAAGGTCGGTACAATGACAAATTAGAAAGTTCAGCGCCTCCTATGATTTTCCAGCCACAAATCAAGATATGACAAATTATAGTACAAGGACCCTTCTGTAATTCCGTAAAAAATTAATCTGACTGTTGCCATTAAAAAATGTTACATAAATATAATCTCCAACAAAACCTGGGAAGCGAAAATCAAGTTAGTATTTCCCTTCAATAATGCAGGAAACAGTAGTGAACAAGGAGAAGAAGCAACATCCAATTAAGCAAGTCCTGGGCCATTTTGCATTCAATTCGAACTCTTATGAGACTTGTGTTTTGATTTCTTCTCCCTTTTCTTACTGCTGCCAGACAATCAAACATCAGTTAAAAAATCAAAACAAGAAGAATCTGCAAGATATTAAAACTCCAATAGTTGCTGTTATGTATTTGTGTGTGTGTAAAAGACATACTCGTCGTGTGAGTTATGACCCCAGCATGATTTCAGCTTTCGATTAATATGCTTCATATCCTTTTCTGTTGGGAAACTATATTTCCTCACCTACATGTAAAACCAGCATAAAATGCATAAATTATTAACTGCAAAAGAACCAATTATTCTCTAGAGTTGACTCGCATCCGCCAGATATGAAATCATCATGCCATTGATTGCCTAATCTTCCCTGCTTCTGTATATCTTCAACAGGGTAATGCAAAAGAAGTTTGAAACAAATTCAAGCTGAGATTTCATAGATTTATACCCAAGTTTCTATGGCATGTAAAGATTCACTGATCTCTGAAATCTTGTGTGCAGAATTTTGACGTGAGAGAACATTGCTGAGATATCTGCAAAAATGTATGCAATGAAAAATCAAGCATTACTTCAGCGACCAAAGATCTCTTTCCTTTTTTTTTTTTTTTTTGAGAGAGAAAAAATTTGGCCAACAACAAGAGTTGAGCTTGATACGAATCACCAACTCAACAGTTGCAGCTGAGAGAGAGAGAGAGAGAGATTGCTGGTGCAAACCTTTCAAAATCAAGAACTCTATGCACCTCATTTGAACTCTGTAGAGCACCCAAAGCCAACTGTGCCAAATTTGTGAACAAGCATAATGAGATCATACCATGCATGAATCATGGAAGGACATATCAACAGTAAAACAACAACAACTCCCATTAATTTGAGGCAGCATCCTACCATTCATGCGATAACAACATATGAAATATATTGAAAATTCAACTTAATAAGACACATTGAAACAGTAGATTTCTAGAAGTACAAGGTTTCATAAATTAAAGATATCATATGGTAAAACAGAAATTACTACTTGAAAAAGATCTTCGATTACCACAAAATTTATTTTGTTGAATCAATTAAGGATCTTTTTTATTTCTGAATATTTATACAGGTTCGTCATTTTGTTCTTCATATGTTTTTCAGTTCCAGTTGGATCTTGTATATGGCATTAAGATGGTTACTTCATCATTTGCCATTGCCTATTTGTGTGTTTCATCTTATTTTCTTTTAATACAATTATGCAAAATGAAAGGTTTCATGTTCAAAGTCAATCAGGCAAAACACACATACGGATACCTGCCCAGGAGGGAACAAAACAGGTGCATCAGTAAGCATTATTTTATCAATCTCTGCCACTGCAGTTTCCTGCAAGATATTGATCTATCAGATTGCTAATTCCCAAATACATGGTAGAAAAGTAATTTTGTCGAGAAACATCAGAAAAAGAACTAGCATATCCCACTAAATAAGAGATGCATCAAACACAACTATTTCAAATATTCAATTCAAAGGCAATGATTGGTACAATTCTATTTTAGAACTGAAGCGATCAGACAGAACAGTACTCAAACATGTTGGCAAGTCATACAAGAAAAAATACCACCAATTACCTTCAGTTTTTGAATATTTTCATCTGTTGGATGGCAGAATTCCTATAAAATCAAAACTTAACATCAGTAACCCTCCAAAAAAAATAGAAATAAAAAGACATAAAAAGATGCAGAATTCTTTTGGATGAGTGGAGGGATCACAGAAATAGATGGATTAATCAAACGGACCTCTATATCAGCAATAAAACCTTCAACAGATCGATATGGTGCATATACAATAAGATCGAATTCCAAACTCTGCATTATAAAGTTCATATTAATACAAACACAAGTAAAAGCTAGATGAGGACAGCAATAATACATAAGCCACATCCATGCCTGATAAACTATCATCTCGTAATTGAGAATCATTTGATGATCCTGTGAAATCCCCTTACCAAGCTCCTCTGCAGACACATGATTTTCTTCTATCTTGCAAGACGCATAAATGCAGGTTAACCTGCGCACGTAAAGAAGTCAAATATTTCTTGTTTAAGCTTAGTGTCATGAAACAAGTCAAGATTATTAGACAAGGGTGGTATACGTTAAAACCAGAATGGCATAGAATTCTAATCTATGTCTGGGTATATTTTCAGATGATATCCTGATGCACTTCTACCAACTCAAATGCATTGCATAAGCCAATAATCATCAGAATTGGCCAACTTTAGCATATAGGTGAAGGAAATTTGAAAAAGAAAACGCACATTACATGTTTTGGATCAAGCTCCATGACTGACCATTGAAGATAAAATCTTTTAAAGTATATGAGAGCTGTTGCCTGCAAATCATAAACCAACCCCACTTAGGTGCCACTAATACCTGAATCAACCTTTTTTCACATCCATCACTATTTCCTCGCAATAACCATCTATCTTACTATTTAGAAACAGAATAAGGTACCTGAATTTTATGAGGAAAATAAAAGGCACTACATACTTCTCGAAGTTTATACTCATAGTATACTCGCATAAACTGTTCTTCTTCAACACTCAGTGGTTTTGAACGAGAATGCTTATCAGCTGACATTCAAAAATAAAAAACCAAAACCATGAAACACATGTTAAGCAAAACTAATCATCAACATTGAAACAAAAGAATAAATCTGGAAAAGCAATTACAATTCTCTGTCGTGTTAACTTGAGGTTCCGGGTACGACAATGACCCATCAACATCCACTCCCAACCTCGTTGTCCCATACTTAACAGCATAAACCATAGCTAAATTAATCACTAAACATAAATTATAATCATCAAGACAAGAGAAAAGCAAGCAATAAAGCAACAGAGCAATGCAAAATACCTTCTCTAGCATTTGTTTCGCCCTTTGATTAGTAGATTTATACTTCTCGGCCTGAATTGAGAATAAATGCAATTACTTTTAACACTAACTAACATTACAGTTACCGCACAAAATTTCAATATTTTCGCAATAATAAACATCTATATCTATTAAAAATAAAATATTGAAGCCTTTTCTACTAAAAAGAGAAAAGAATGCTTAATTAAAACCAAAACAATCTCTAAATAAACCTAATTTAACAGTTTCAAAAATCAAACGAAACCTACGGTTCTTACAATTAACTGATTTTTCTCTATTCGAATTCAATTACTATCAGAAACGAAAACGAAAATAAAGTTAACCGACACAAAAAAATAAAAATTTTAACAAATTTTCTTTGGTTTTCTTGGGAACCGAACAGAAAGAGGAATTGAGTGATGTTAAATTGTTAGCGGAAGCGAGAGGTATTCGGTTACCAGCTGTTGAGGAGTAAAGATCCATTTGGCTTTGTGACTTGAGGATTGGAAATCGGCCATTGCTGACTCGGTAACCCAAACTTAGCGATCAGTGAGTTGGGTTGTGTTTCTTGTTATTTGATCAGAGAGAATAGAAGTAAGATTCTTTATATCAGAATTATTTGATTACTTTCTGTTTTTGTGTGTTTCCTTTCAATGCCAGCATATGATTGAGTAAATTATAAATTAGTCCCTCTAATTTAACCAAAGGAATCAAATAGCCTCTTTAATTCTAATAAGTAATTGATTAGACCTTAAATTTTTAGATGTATTTATATCTTAATCGTTTTCATTATTATTTTAATTTATTTTGTTGTTTCAGTTTAATAAATAAAAAATAAAAACATAAGTAAAAAATATAGAAAATTAATAAGAAAAAGACAAGTTATTGAATAAAATAATATTGAATTTACTAAAATCAACACCAAATTAATTAATTAATTTTCAAAACAAAACAAATTTAATTCGTTTTGTAAATAGAGAGACTAATTTATAATTTACGTGTGTATGTTTGACAAAAGTAATGTATGAATGTAAATCTATATTACCTCCATGATGTCTAGGATGTTTTCAATTTCACCCTTAATTGATGAACAACCGGTCTTTTTCACCTTTTTGTTCAAATTTTTCTTATTTTTGCACTCGTTTTTTTTTCTCTTAAATCCTTATACATGTTATAATATTTCACAATAACATTTAAAAGGAAAAAAATTCAAATAGAAGGTTTTTTAATGGTTAAAGATAATATTGGAACTTTTGGAAAACAACAAAATTAAGGTTGTAAATTAACTAAATAAACTAAAACAAAATGATAGTTTACTATTCCAAATACTGCTCGCACACTAATATTTTACTATTCATTGGTTTTTTTACACTTTGGTCTCCGATAGTTGTCAAAGAATATTTTGATCCACATCTTCATTTGCTCATTCATTTTGATCTCTGGATGAGAGATAAGAGATGGGGAAGAGACATACGGAAGGAGAGAGAAATCACCGAGTCAAGCTTATTTAGGCCACTCTAGTAGACGAAAATCTATTAGATTTTTTTATCTTTAAGAGGTGAGTTTGTCCATAGTAGTTTCAAGCTATTAAATCATTATAGAAGTTAGATCGGAGCCAAAAAATGAGAAAAAAATCCAATTTGATTTTGTATTTTTCTTTATTTTTAAGGTTTTAGAAGTGTTTATTGATTTTATTCCGATCATTTAGAGGTGTTTCGAAAAAAATGATGCTGGAATTCAATTTCTAAGAGTTTGAAAGTTGACCTCCGATTTTCCGACAAACTTCCGATGAGGTTGGGTTGGCCCAAAGTTGCAAGGTTTTTTTTTTTTTTTTTTTTAAATTCAAGCGCAACCTGGTTGCATAAACCAACCAGGTGCCTGTCTTGGTTGGTTTGCGCCAACCAGGCGCCTTAAGCTAACTAGGTGTTTATTATTATTATTATTATTTGTATGTTTTTTCTTTTTAGTTCATGTGCAACCTGGTTGCACAAATCAGCCAGGCCCCTATCCTGGTTGGATTGTGACAACCCGACGCCTGTCCCAACCCCCCCCCCCCCCCAACTTTTTTTTTCTTGCTTCCTTCCTTCTTTTATAAATTCGAGGTTTAAATATTACAAGTTTTTATTTAGGAATACCCTAAATAAAGAAAAAAAATCATTTTTTAATTAAATAAAAAATTATAAAATTTTGAAACGATTTTTTTCTATCTACCCATTGTGTTGCGTGGATAATTTCAAAAATTAATTATCTTATCAGCATTAATTAAGAAATTTTTGTCCATTTATTAGTTTTTATAAAAGTTTATTTATTAATTATAACTTTATTTTTAATACAATATTATAAAATATATATTTTTAAAAATTTTTAATTCTTGATTAATATTTTGGTTAAAATCAATCCATAAAGACGAATGATTTATTTTTTTAACCAAAAAATTTAGAAAAAATTAATTAAATACAATATTATAATTTAAAAAATTTTAAAATTTAAAATAATTTTATTCAATCAAACCCCCAGCGTAGCACGGGCAACTGACTAGCTTATAAACTATAGAAATAGAAGTGAAATATTAATGAATAAACCAAAAAGGTAAAATAGGTTAAAAATAATAATCTTATACTAACAAGTTATTTAAGTTATTAACTTTAAACCAAACGCATCCTAGCAGTAGAAAACAAAAAATAGTGCGGCAATTCGCCGCCACTTGTCACCAAATAACTGGGCAGTTACCAAGAATAATGCTCCAAAAGTAACTTACACAGCCTATGGTACTTACTCTGCAAGCTGCCTTCCAGCATAAGGCTATGGACTATGGCCTTTACTACTTCCTCTGCAGCCTCATAAGTATATGCAAACACAACCTTTTCCCTTCACTCACTCACTCTCTCTCTCTCTCTGTGCTGTGGTTGCTTCTCCATCATCACTCTTTTGCTTAACCAGGTACTTCTTGACCATGTTTTTTAGCATTGATCACATTGGTTATAGTTTATATCATCATTTGTAATTTTGATTTTCAAAAGGTGGAAACTTTGTTGGGGTTTTGCATGAAATGCAGGAAAAGAAATTGGTTTGTAATTTGTGAGCTTTTAACATACTTAACAGATAGTGTTTTTTTCGTGTTGGGGTATGTGAGGTGATGTAAATTTGCATGCTTTATGAGTATTTTTGTGATTTTCCCTTGTCTAACCATATATGACCAATTATTAATTTCTCCATACAATTATTAATCTCTCCATACAACCTTTTGACACTGCTGGTTGTATGTTTTTTGGTATGTGGGGTCACCTAAAGTTTCACGCTTTATGATTACTGAATGACTTTTGAATTAGCCTCACAGGGTAGTGACTAGTGAAAGATCGCTTGAAATTTCCTTATAACTCCCTCTACCTCTAAGCAAGATCTTGAGGTTGTTTAACTTACTGGAATGTTTGCGAGGTTCACTGTCTCCTATGGAAGGAAGTAGCCTTTTTTTTTGGCAACAGTTGTACTCTTTCAGGTCTTAATTAGAATAGGACCTTGGATTTAGATATAGTTTGTTTGGTGTACAGTTTAATTGCCAACACCAGAAACTTTCGAGTCTGTTCAAAGGATTTTGGATGCTACTGTAGACTTCACAAAGTCTGTTCATACAAGGAAAATGCAAAATAGTCAAACGATTGCATGTAGATATGCATGTTCTCTTTCTTTGGTTTTTAACTGTAATCGTTACAATGTTTAAATAATTTTTAATGCAGCAAACCAAGATGGAGGTTGACATGATGTTGAATGAGAAACTGAAAACGATTGATGATGCAATTACGAAGAAGAAGATGATTATGGATGGACACCCTGTGGTTCCACTTACGCCTGCAGAAAAAATGGTCGCATATGAGTATCCTTCAATATGAATTACTTACAGCTCAAATTGTGATATCTTGTGTTTTCTACTTGACTAAAGAAATTAATATTCCTGAATGTGATTTTAATTGTTGAGAATTGGCATATCCTTAATGCTTATGGTAGCTGTGCTTTCACCTTGTGCACGCGGAAGAGGGACTACAGCAGCATGGTATACGAGAAGTATACCAACTGTTTAAGTGAGAGAATTCAAGAGAGGGTAAGATTTCCAAGATATAATCACTAATTTTGTCAGTTTCTTCAGTTCTGCATGATTTTTCTGGCAGAATTGACTTCATGTATCCAAAATGTGTTGGCTAAGATGTCATAGTCTCAATATCTGTTCCTTTTCCTCTCTGTCAAAGTGCAATGAACTGGTTCACTGAAAGGTGCTTCTATCTCATTCCTTTTGTTTTTCATCCTTGTATTCACTTTTAGGTACTTCCTGGGTTGATGGCCAAAAATGGTACAGAACTTTTAACCGAAATCACGCGATTATGGTCGGAGTATGGGGAATTTGCAAGCTTTTTGTCAAAAATCTTTGCATACTTGGATAGATTCTACATCCCTAGGAGAGGACTTCTATCACTAGCTGACTCTATGAGATATTACTTCCGCAATCTGGTAAGTAACAACGTGAAGTTTTTTAGTTCTTAGTTTTGCCTTGTGTGCTCTTACTCTATTTGGCTGAACATTATATTCAATCATTTTTGCAGGTCTGTGATAAGCTGTTTAGCAAATTGCAGGAAGCAATGATGAGACTGGTCTGTTGACATTCACTTGGTGGTTCAACAATGGTTTGTCTTCTTTCTGAGGTTTGGTTGACTCTGGAAATGACTTTATGCGCAGATCATTCACGAGCGTGAAGGGGGGCAGATTGATAGGAACCTGCTAAAGACTGCCTTTTATTTCTTTCTAGAGGTGGAAGAGAAAGGAACCACCCACTATTATGAAAAAATTGAGCAGATAATGCTTGCAGAAGTTGCTGCCTACTACACTCAGCTGTCTTTAGAGTGGTGGTTCTGGCGCGACACCTTTTCTAATTATCTGCGGAAGGTCAGTAAAGCTTGAAACTTTTGGCAACCCAAAGAAGTCAATTCTTTGTTTTTGTAACAATCGATGGTTCATTCTCACCCTATCATTTCAGGTCGATTGGTGCTTGAACCAGGAGGAATCCAGAGCAGAAATCTACCCACTTCAGACTACAAAAACAAAATTACTGGAGGTACAGTGTTCTGTATCTCCTTCTCATAATATCTCCGCTTGCTAATCTATCACATAGTTCGCATGCTTGCCATGCTATCAAAATCTTACATACGAATTGATTTGACCCCCGCTGGTTTGGTTCTTGTTGCAGGTGATGAAATATGTTTTGCTAGAAAGAAACGCAAAGAAGTGGGGTCAGAAGCAAAACACCGAGGGGTTGGCAGCTGGAGATCAGGTACTCTTTAATTTGCATATTAAGTTCATGATGAGTAAGATAACTGAAAGCATCTTCTAACGTTGCTCACCTTTTTCGTGTAGGAGCTGTTATCCAAATATGCTAGCTTGAGCCTTGAATAGGATAGCTCTGCTGTCTTGGCTGCCAGTATCGCAGAAGTGATGTCTGCGCTTTTGGGGTTTGCAAAGGAATAAGAAATCCACAGCTTGTGGTATTTTCGGGTGTATTAAGGAATATGAAATCCTTTTAAATAGTAGTATTTTGTTTAACATTCTACATGAATTGCATATGGTCCGTAATCCAACTCCCCTTAATGTTTAATTAATCTCTAATATTTGAACTTATATTACATAAGTTGATTGAGCTGACGAGGATTCTAATTTCCAAGTCCTTAACAAGCATTTCTTTCAGTAGAAAAATTAATGAGAAAATAAGATTTTTTTAAAAAATAAAATAATATTAAATTAAATATGATCGAAAAACTAATTAAAAAATAAAATAATTATCTTTTGAAATTAAAAAAAATAATAATAATAAGTAATTCGTTTCTCCAACTAGAGGAACTAGTTTATAATTTATTCGTTAAAGCACTAACAGCCCATTTGCTTCCTTTTCAATCAGGGGATCAGGCCTTTTATTGGGCCATATGGAGGCCTTTGAGTAGCCCTGCTTTTCAAGTCCAGTTCCTCTTGAATGCTGGACTTAATTATTAATTACCAGATCCAAGGTTAAAGCCTTTCAGAAAAAAAATTCTGCCCCCTTTCAAAGAAAATAAAGTTTTGTTTAACCAACAAATTGTTGTTAATATCGATTTATGAAGAAGTATTTATTAAAAAAGTTAAATTTTTTTTCTAGTAAAATTAATATGAAAATACTTAAAGAAAAAAATATTTAAATGTAAAAATAAAATTTCATAATCATTGATTAAAAAAAATGTTGGTATAGCAGTTATTACGGAGTTAATTATGACTTAGTCTTGTACTTTAATAAATGTAATTATTTTTCCTTGCATTGTCATAAATTATAGATTTAATCTCTATGTTTTTAGATATATTTATAATTTAATCCTTTTGTTAATTTCATGTTCATTTCCATTTTATTAAAAATCAAAACAATCTCTAAACAAACCTAATTTAACAGTTCCAAAATCAAACTTAACCTATAGTTCTTGCTTTTTTAAAAAAAATAAAATTTTTAACAAATTTTTCTTCGGTTTCCTCGGGAACCAAACAGAGAGTAGAATTGAGTGATGTTAAATTGTTAGTGGAAGCGAGAGGTATCAGGATACCAGCTATTGAGGAGTGAAGATCCCTTTGGCTTTGTGACTTGAGGATGGGAAATCAGCCATGGCTGACTCGGTAACCCTAACTTGGCGATCAGTGAGTTGGGTTGTGTTCCTTTTTATTTGATTACATAGAACTACGTATATACTTGTGTTATGCTGTAATCGGACAATCATTACATATATATGGTTAACGATCCGTATGGTATGACGTGAGTAAAAATCTTATTTCTCGTAAATATAAATCGAATTTATATATTGAACGAAATTATTTGATTTATATATATTTATTAACAAAATAATTAATAATATTATCATGAAAATTTATATTTGAATAATTGGAATGTTATTTCAAAATATTTTTAAATTTTTATTTAAAAATATATATTTTAGGATATAAAAAATAATAATTAGTGTTATGTGTACGGATAAATAATTAATTTCTAACAAAACTAATGATTCATATCTATATATATACACTCATCTAAATTGTATAAAATATATTGAAGTGAATAAATTAAAATAAAAAATACTACAAAATTGGTTTTGATGACTTCTAATTATATATATAAGCAAATAAAACGTGTGAGTTTTTTTTTCTCTCTCTCTCTCTCAAAACTTGCTACAAAATTGATTTTGATAAATTGTAATTATAAATACGTGCAACTATGCTATCCTCATTTAAAAAATCATAAAAATAATCCATTGTATAAATTATAATAATATATTTTTAAAAATAAAACACTTAGTTCTAAAATTTTATTCTAAAATTAATATATAAAAAAACCAAATTTACCAACAAATAAAATTATATCAAAAAATAAAAAATTAATTTAATGAGAATTTAATAAGAAACAAATAACCGAAGAAATGAACTATAAACGATAAGAGTAATATAATCGGATATATATGTTGAAACAACAATACGGAAAAAATATATATATATATCCTATAATCTTTAAACTATACGTAAAACAAAAAAATAATAAATATCTATTTTTTAATTTTTCACACCGAATTCTATGATAAAAAAATAAAATAAAATAAATTATTGAAAAGAAAAAAAAAGACCGAGCTCAAGCGTTTAAGCTACTTATGTAGGCCAGTTTGGCCAAAATGGGATTGTGAGACCAAGCCGGCCCAACAAGCCGAGGTTTGCGTGTGCAGGCTCGAGCGCCCGGTCAAGGCTACTCAAGCTTACATGCCGGGGCAACCCGAGCCCGCTCCCTAGGCTCGAGCTTTAGCTAGAAAAAAAAAACAAAAGAAGAAAAATCTATAATTTTCGACAAACTCAAGGTCGCGAAAGCTTTATCGAAAAATCGAGGGTCAAGTTTCAAATCCTTAGAAATTCAAATTTCAATATTATTTTTTCTCCAAAAACCTTTAAATGATCGAAATAAGATCAATAAACACATTTAAAACCTTAAAAATTATTTTAATATACATTAAAAAAATCCATAATCAAATCAGAATTTTTTTCTTTTTTGGATCCGATCTACCTCCTCTAATTATTTAATGACTTAAAACCACCATGGACAAACTCATCTCTCAAAGATAAAAAAAATTAATAGATTTTCACCGATCAAAATGGCTTAAATAAGCTTGGTGGGGATCTCTCTTCCTTTTGTCTATCTCTTCTTTCCTTATTTCTTTATACACGTAGGGATCGAAATGTAAAAAGTTATATAATTTTTATATTATTTCCCACTAAAGTTGAAAAAATTTCAAAAAAACCATTCTTTCATTTACCATATAAATGAGTCCAGAGTAAATGAATAGTGACAAAAATCTCAATTCTTTTGACCTATTGAGTAACAAAAGTAAGATTCTTTATATCATAATTATTTGATTACTTTTTCGTTTTTGTGTTTCCTTTAAATATGAGGTATATGATTGAGTAAATTATAAATTAGTGCCTCTAATTTTTTTTAAAAATTAAATAGCCTTTTTAATTCTAATAACTAATTAACAAGTCCTTCAATTTTTAAATTTATTTATAACTTGATTTTTTTCATTACTTTTTAAGTTATTTGTTTTTTTAGTTCAATAATTAGAAAATAAAAATATGCAAAATTATTAAGAAAAAGACTTGTTATTGAATAAAATAATATTACAAATACTCTAAAACAAGAAGTGATTTTATTGTTCATTTTACTGTAGCATAAGACTAAATCTACTATTCCTTTCACCGTTGAAAGAACAATGATTTTTTTCCCACCTTTCCTTGCCTTTTGCTGAATTACTGTACAAATCTAAATTTTTTGTTTCAACCGTCCGATCGAATATTGCTTTATTCAATCTCCACCGTCCATCTAAAAAACCCTAGCAATCACACCCATCAAAATCATGATATATAAGTTGATTTTATCCCAATCTCACCGAGCCTCCCTCTTCCAGACTTCTACCATTCTCCTCTTCACCAAAAACCACCCGCCACCACTACATCTCGACGCCGACCGCCAGCCACCATAACATCTTTTTATCCCATTCTCACTAGACCATCTTTCTCTATCTTTATCTTTTTGGTGATGCACGCTTACTTGGATTCTTTTGATTTGTAAGGCCTGGAGTTTGATGAGGCTATCGAGGTCTTTCTACAGGGCTTTAGGGTACCAGGTGAGGCACAGAAGATTGATCAAATCATGGAGAAGTTTTCCAAACGTTACTGCAAATGTAATCCAAAAGTTTTTAGTAGTGCTGACACAGCCTATGCCCTTGCTTACTCTGTGATAATGCGAGTAAGGTTGGAAATTAACTAAATAAACTAAAATAAAACGAAAATTTACTGTTCTAAATACTGTTCACACACTGACATCTCACTATTCATTAATTTTTTTACATTTTGGTCATTGATAGTGGTCAAAGAATACTTTGATCCACATCTTCATTTGCTCATTCATTTTGGTCTCTAGATGAGAGAGAAGGGAGGGGAAGAGAGATACGGGAGGAGAGAAAAATCGTCGATCAAGCTTATTTAGGTCACTCTGGCGGATGAAAATCCACTAGATTTTTTTATTTTTGAGAGATGAGTTTGTTCATAGTGGTTTTAAGCCATTAAACCATTAGAAAAGGTAGATCAGAGCCAAAAAGGAGAAAAAAATCTGATTTGATTTTGTATTTTTTTTGTTTTTGTGTGTATTAAAATGATTTTTAAGGTTTTAGATATATTTATTGGTTTAATTCCGATCATTTAGAGGTGTTTGGAAAAAAAATGATGTCGAAATTCAATTTCTAGAGATCCGAAAGTTGACTTTCGATTTTCTGACAAACTTCCGATGAGCTCAGGTTGACTGAAAGTTGCAAGGTTTTTTTTTTAAAAAAAATTTCAAGCGCAACTTGGTTGCACAAACCAACCAGGCACCTGTCTTGGTTGGTTTGCGCCAACCAGGCACCTTAAGCCATCCAGGCACTTATTTTATTTTATTTTTTGTTTTTGTTTTTGTTTTTTTTTTTTTTGTTTCAGGTGCAACCTGGTTTCACAAACCAACCAGGTGCCTATCCTGGTCGGGTTGTGACAACCCAACGCAGCCCCCCCCTCCCCACCTTTTTTTTTTTTGCTTCCTTCCTTCCTTTATAAATTTGAGGTTTAAATATTACAAGTTTTTATTTATGAATACCCTAAATAAAGAAAAACAAATAATATTTTTTAATTAAATAAAAAATTATAAAATTTTGAAATGATTTTGTTATATCCACCCATTGTGTTACGTGGATAATTTCAAAAATTAATTATCTTATTAGCATTATTAAAGAAAATTTTGTCAATTTATTAGTTTTTATAAAAGTTTATTTATTAATTATAACTTTATTTTTAATACAATATTATAAAATATATATATTTAAAAATTTTTAATTCTTGATTAATATTTTGGTTAAAATCAATCCATAAAGATGGGTGATTTATTTTTTTAACTAAAAAATTTAGAAAAAATTAATTAATTACGACATTATAATTGAAAATTTTTAAAATTTTAAAATAATTTTATTCAATCAAACCGCCAGCGTAAGCAGGCAACTGACTAGTTTATAAACTATAAAAATAGAAGTGAAATATTAATGAATAAACCAAAAAGGTAAAATAGGTTAAAAATAATAATCTTATACTAACAAGTTATTTAAGTTATTAACTTTAACCCAAACGCATCCTAGCGGTAGAAAACAAAAAATAGTGCGGCAATTCCCCGCCACTTGTCACCAAATAACTGGGCAGTTACCAAGAATAATGCTCCAAAAGTAACCTACACAGCCTATGGTACTGACTCTGCAAGCTGCCTTCCAGCATAAGTCTATGGACTATGGCCTTTACTACTTCCTCTACAAGCTGCCTTCCCTCCTAAGTATATGCAAATACAACCTTTTCCCTTCACTCACTCACTCTCTCTCTCTCTCTTTCTCTCTCTCTCTGCTGTGTTTGCTTCTCCATCATCACTCTTTTGCTTAACCAGGTACTTCTTGACCATGTTTTTCTTCATGTTTTTTAGCATTGATCACATTGTTTATAGTTTATATCATCATTTGTAATTTTGATTTTCAAAAGGTGGAAACTTTGTTGGGGTTTTGCATGAAATGCAGGAAAAGAAATTGGTTTGTAATTTGTGAGCTTTTAACAAATTTAACAGATATTGTTTTTTGTCGTGTTGGGGTATGTGAGGTGATGTAAATTTGCATGCTTTATGAGTATTTTTGTGATTTTCCCTTGTCTAACCGTAAATGATCAATTATTAATTTCTCCATCCAATTATTAATCTCTCCATACAACCTTTTGACACTGCTGGTTGTATGTTTTTTGGTATGTGGGGTCACCTAAAGTTTCACGCTTTATGGTTATGAATGACTTTTGAATTAGCCTCACAGGGTAGTGACTAGTGAAAGATCGCTTGAAATTTCCTTATAACACCCTCTACCTCTAAGCAAGATCTTGAGGTTGTTTAACTTACTGGAATGTTTGCGAGGTTTACTGTCTCCTATGGAAGGAAGTAGCCTTTTTTTTTTTTTTTTGGCAACAGTTGTACTCTTTCAGGTCTTAATTAGAATAGGACCTTGGATTTAGATATAGTTTGTTTGGTGTACAGTTCAATTGCCAACACCAGAAACTTCCGAGTCTGTTCAAAGGGTTTTGGATGCTACTGTAGACTTCACAAAGTCTGTTCATACAAGGAAAATGCAAAATAGTCAAACGATTGCATGTAGATATGCATGTTCTCTTTCTTTGGTTTTTAACTGTAATCGTTACAATGTTTAAATAATTTTTAATGCAGCAAACCAAGATGGAGGTTGACATGATGTTGAATGAGAAACTGAAAACGATTGATGATGCAATTACGAAGAAGAAGATGATTATGGATGGACACCCTGTGGTTCCACTTACGCCTGCAGAAAAAATGGTCGCATATGAGTATCCTTCAATATGAATTACTTACAGCTCAAATTGTGATATCTTGTGTTTTCTACTTGACTAAAGAAATTAATATTCCTGAATGTGATTTTAATTGTTGTATCCTTAATGCTTATGGTAGCTGTGTTTACACTTTGTTAATGCGGAAGCAGAGCGACTACTGCAGCCTGGTATACGAGAAGTATACGAACTGTTTAAGTGAGAGAATTCAAGAGAGGGTGAGATTTCCAAGATATAATCACTAATTTTGTCAGTTTCTTCACTTCTGCATGATTTTTCTGGTAGAATTGACTTCATGTATCCAAAATGTGTTGGCTAAGATGTCAAAGTCTCAATATATGTTCCTTTTCCTCTCTGTCAAAGTGCAATGAACTCGTTCATTGAAAGGTGCTTCTATCTCATTCCTTTTGTTTTTCATCCTTGTATTCACTTTTAGGTACTTCCTGGGTTGATGGCCAAAAATGGTACAGAACTTTTAACCGAAGTCACGCGATTATGGTCGGAGTATAGGGAATTTGCAAGCTTTTTGTTAAAAATCTTTGAATGCTTGGATAGATTCTACATCCGTAGGAGAGGACTTCTATCACTAGCTGACACTATGAGATATTACTTCCGCAATCTGGTAAGTAACAACGTGAAGTTTTTTAGTTCTTAGTTTTGCCTTGTGTGCTCTTACTCTATTTGGCTGAACATTATATTCAATCATTTTTGCAGGTCTGTGATAAGCTGTTTAGCAAATTGCAGGAAGCAATGATGAGACTGGTCTGTTGACATTCACTTGGTGGTTCAACAATGGTTTGTCTTCTTTCTGAGGTTTGGTTGACTCTGGAAATGACTTTATGCGCAGATCATTCACGAGCGTGAAGGGGGGCAGATTGATAGGAACCTGCTAAAGACTGCCTTTTATTTCTTTCTAGAGGTGGAAGAGAAAGGAACCACCCACTATTATGAAAAAATTGAGCAGATAATGCTTGCAGAAGTTGCTGCCTACTACACTCAGCTGTCTTTAGAGTGGTGGTTCTGGCGCGACACCTTTTCTAATTATCTGCGGAAGGTCAGTAAAGCTTGAAACTTTTGGCAACCCAAAGAAGTCAATTCTTTGTTTTTGTAACAATCGATGGTTCATTCTCACCCTATCATTTCAGGTCGATTGGTGCTTGAACCAGGAGGAATCCAGAGCAGAAATCTACCCACTTCAGACTACAAAAACAAAATTACTGGAGGTACAGTGTTCTGTATCTCCTTCTCATAATATCTCCGCTTGCTAATCTATCACATAGTTCGCATGCTTGCCATGCTATCAAAATCTTACATACGAATTGATTTGACCCCCGCTGGTTTGGTTCTTGTTGCAGGTGATGAAATATGTTTTGCTAGAAAGAAACGCAAAGAAGTGGGGTCAGAAGCAAAACACCGAGGGGTTGGCAGCTGGAGATCAGGTACCCTTTAACTTGCATATTAAGTTGACGATGAGTAAGATAACTGAAAGCATCTTCTAACATTGCTCACCTATTTCGTGTAGGAGCTGTTATCCAAATATGCTAGCTTGAGCCTTGAATAGGATAGCTCTGCTGTCTTGGCTGCCAGTATCGCAGAAGTGATGTCTGCGCTTTTGGGGTTTGCAAAGGAATAAGAAATCCACAGCTTGTGGTATTTTCGGGTGTATTAAGGAATATGAAATCCTTTTAACTAGTAGTATTCTGTTTAACATTCTACATGAATTGCATATGGTCTGTAATCCAACTCCCTATAATGTTTAATTAATCTCTAATATTTGAACTTATATTACATAAGTTGATTGAGTTGACGAGGATTCTAATTTCCAAGTCCTCAACAAGCATTTCTTTCAGTAGAAAAATTAGTGAGAAAATAAGATTTTTTAAAAAATAAAAGAATATTAAATTAAGTATGGTCGAAACTAATTAAAAAATAAAATAATTAGCTTTTGAAATAAAAAAATAAAATAAAGTAATTCGTTTCTCAAACGAAGGAACTAATTTATAATTTATTCGTTGAAGTACTTGTTGCCCATTTGCTTCCTTTTGAATCAGGGAATCAGACCTTTTATTGGGCCACATGGAGGCCTTTGAGTAGCCCTGCATTTCAAATCCAGTTCCTCTTGAATGCTGGACTTAATTATTAATTACCAGATCCAAGGTTAAAGCCTTTCAGGAAAAAAATTCTGCCGCCTTTCAAAGAAAATAAAGTTTGTTTAACCAACAAATTGTTGTTAATATCGATTTATGAAGACAGTATTTATTAAAAAAGTTAAATTTTATTATTTTTTTCGAATAAAATTAAGATAAAAATACTTAAAGAAAAAAATTATTTAAATGTAAAAATAAATTTTCATAATCATTGATTAAAAAAAATGTTGGTATACCATTTATTACGGAGTTAATTATGACTTAGTCTTGTACTTTAATAAACGTAATTATTTTTTCCTTGCATTTTCATAAATTATAGATTTAATCTCTATGTTTTACATATATTTATAATTTAATCCTTTTGTTAATTTCATGTTCATTTCCATTTTATTAAAAACCAAAACAATCTCTAAACAAACCTAATTTAACAGTTCCAAAATCAAACTTAACCTACAGTTCTTGCTTTTTTAAAAATAAAATGAAAATTTTATCAAATTTTTCTTCGGTTTCCTCGGGAGCCAAACAGAAAGTGGAATTGAGTGATGTTAAATTGTTAGAGGAAGCGATAGGTATTAGGATACTAGCTATCGATGAGTGAAGATCCATTTGACTTTGTGACTTGAGGATGGGAAATCGGCCATGGCTGACTCGGTAACCCTAACTTAGGGATCGGTGAGTTGGGCTGTGTTCCTTGTTATTTGATTACAGGGAACTAGTTAGATATTCACGTTTTACTGCAATCAGACACTTGTTATACATATAAGTTTAACGATCCGTATGGTGTGGTGTGAGTAGAAATCTTATTTTCGATAAATGTAAATCGAATTTATATATTTAACAAAAATTATGTGATTTATATATATTTATTAATAAAATAATTAATAATATTAACATAAAAATTTGTATTTGAATAATTAGAATGTTCTTTCAAAATATTATTTAAATTATTTTATTTAAAAATACATATTTTAGGACATAAAAAAAATAATTGGTGTTGTATGTACAAATAAATAGTTAATTTATAACAAAACTAATTATTCATATATATATATATATATATATACTCACTCGAATTGTATAAAATATATTCAAGTGAATAGATTAATTTCTAACAAAACTAATGATTCATGTATATATACCCACATAAAATGCATGTAATATATCGAAGTGAATAAATTAAAATAAAAACTATTACAAATTTGGTTTTGATAACTATATATATATATATATATATATATATGGGCAAATAAAACATGTGAGTTTTTTTAATTGATTATTAATTTTTTAAAAAAAATTAGTCAAATTATCTAAAATACAATTTTATCTCTCTCTCTCTCTCTCTCAAAACTACTACAAAATTGATTCCGATAAATTCTAATTATAAATACGTGCAACTATGCTACTCTCATTTAAAAAATCATAAAAATAATTCATTGTATAAATTATAATAATATATTTTTTAAAAAATAAAACACTTAGTTCTAAAATTTATTCTAAAAATTCTAAAATTAATATATAAAAAACCAAATAAAATTATATCAAAAAATAAAAAATTAATTTAATGAGAATTTAATAAGAAACAAATAATTGAATAAATAAATTATAAACAATAAGAGTAATATAATCAGATATATACATTCAAACAAAAATATAAAAAAATATAATATATATCCTATCATCTTCGAACTATACGTGAAATAAAAAAATAAAAAATATATTTTATATTTTTTATATCAAATTATATAATAAAAAAATATAAAAATAAATTATTGGAAGGAAAAAAACAAGGCCAGTTTGGCCAAAATGGGACTGTGAGGCCAAGCCAACCCAGCAAGCTGAGGCCTACGTGTGTAGACCTGAGTGCCTGGCCGAGGCTACTCAGGCTTGCGTGCTAGGACAACTCGAGCTTGCTCCCGAGGCTTGGCCTCTAGTTAGAAAGAGAAAAAAAAAAAAAAAAAAAAAAAAAAATCTGCAACTTCCATCGAAGTCAAGTCGCTGGAAGCTTCGTCGAAAAATCGAAGTTCAAGTTTTAAATTTTTAGAAATTTAAATTTTAATATTATTTTTTATACAAAAACTTTTAAATGATCGAAATAAGATCAATAAATACTTTTAAAATCTTAAAAATTATTTTAATATATATAAAAAATATCATAATCAAATCAGAATTTTTTTCTTTTTTGGATCCGATCTACCTCTTTTAATTATTTAATGATTTGAAACCATGATGAAAGAATTCATCTTTCAAAGATAGAAAATTTTAATAGATTTTCACTAGTCAAAATGGCTTAAATAAGCTTGGTTAATGATCTTTCTTCTTTCTTATCTCTTTTTTCTTTCCTCATTTCTTTATACACGTAGGGATTAAAGTATAAAAAGTTATATAATTTTTATATTATCTCCCATCAAAGATCAAAAAATCACAAAAAAACCATTCTTCCATCTACAATATAAACGAGTCTAGAGTAAATGGACAGTGATAAAAATCTCAATTCTTTTGGCCTCGTTGGTAATAGAAGTAAGATTCTTTATATCATAATTATTTTATTACTTTTTTGTTTTTGTGTTTCCTTAAAATATGACGTATATAATTGAGTAAATTATAAATTAGTCCCTCTAATTTTTATAAAGAAATTGAATAGCCTTTTAAATTCTAATAACTAATTGACTAGTACTTCAATTTTTAAATTTATTTATAACTTAATTGTTTTCGTTACCTTTTAATTTATTTTTTTTAGTTTAATAATTAGAAAATAAAAAATATGGAAAATTATTAAGAAAAAAAACTTGTTATTGAATAAAATAATATTAGAAATACTCTAAAACAGAAAGCGGTTTTACTGTTCATTTTACTGTAGCACAAGACTAACTCAAGTATTCCTTTCATTGTTGAAAGAACTGTGATTTTTTCCCCCACATTTCCTCGCCTTTTGCTGAATTACTATACAAATCTAAATTTTCGGTACAATTTTTGTTTCAACCGTCCGATCCAAATTAATTACTTTAGAGCCGTCCGATCGAATATTGCTTTATTCGATCTCCACCGTCCATCTAAACAACCCTAGCAATCACACCCATCAAAATCATGCTATATAAGTTGATTTGATCCCCATCTCACCGAGCCTCTATCTTCTAGACTTCTACAAATCTCCTATTCACCCAAAGCCACCCGCCGCCACTACACCCCGATGCCGACCGTCAGCCACCGCAACATCTTTTTATCCCATTCTCACTAGACCATCTTTCTCTATCTTTATCCTTTTGGTGATGCACGCTTGCGTGGATTCTTTTGATTTTTAAGGCTTGGAGTTTGATGAGGTTATCAGGGTCTTTCTACAGAGCTTTAGCCTTTAGGGCACCAGGTGAGGCACAGAAGATTGATCGAATTATGGAGATGTTTGCCGAACGTTACTGCAAATGTAATCCAAAAGTTTTTAGTAGTGCTGACACAGCCTATGCCCTTGCTTACTCTGTGATAATGCTCAATACTGATGCTCATAATCCCATGGTGAAGAATAAGGTGTTTTCAAACTCTTTAGTTAATTTGGTTGGATATTTCAGATAGTATGATGGATAAGTCTTCCCGCACTCATCTTTCTCTGGAAAAAATAAATACAGATGTCACCTGATGACTTTATAAGAAACAATCTTGGCATTGATGATGGAAAAGATCTACCTGAGGAGTACTTGAGGTCATTGTTTGAACGAATATCAAAAAATGAGATCAAATTGAAAGAAGGTGATTTGGCTCTCTAACAAAAGCAAGGTGAAGAAAAGCATATGGAAACAAGCGATGATCTTAAACAATTTAAAGAAAAAGCTCAAAAATCTGAGTAAGAACTACTAGCTCTCCTGTTCTCCAAATCACCATTGCTTTTCCACCCGAAACATTATGGTAGCTGATCCCACCCTATCAAGTCATCTGGGTTCTGCACTGTATTGGGCTCTCCATATGTGTACGGGGCAATAATCTTTATGAAGCTAAAGGCTCTTAACTCTATTGTTCACTAATTGTTTTACACGGTTAAGGTTTGATTACTGCCTCCTGAATAATAAGCAATCCTGTGTGATAGTATTTTTTTTCCAACAAAAATTTGGCTATGCCTATGTTTTATGATTATGTTCTTGGCGAAGTTGATATTTATACTTTGAACGAAACAAAATATAATTCTCACATATCTATATGGACCTGACAATTTGTAGGTCAGTTTATTATGCTGCAACAGATGTGGTGATTTCTAGATTCATGATTGAGGTATACTGGGCTCCTATGTTGGCTGCCTTCAGTGTGCCTCTTGACCAAAGTGACGATGAAGTAGTGATAGCTCTGTGTCTTGAAGGTATCCACTGTGCTATCCATGTTATTGCTGTGATGTCCATGAAGACTCATAGAGATGCTTTTGTGACTTCATTAGCTAAGTTTACTTCGCTCCACTCTCCTGCTGATATCAAGCAGAAAAATATTGATGCCATCAAGGTTGGTATTTGATACAATATCTTATAGATGCTGCTGCAGATTACTTTTAAAGAGCAATTTAAGAAATGATGTACAGATTATAAGTTCCTTGCGCTAATAAGAGTATATGGTTTATATTTTAATGGCTTTATGAAACTCCCTTTCTTCAAAATTTCAATGTTGCAAATCCTTAGATGTGAATGATGGAAAAATAATAGGATGGATTTAGATGTACTAGCTGAATGTATCTTTTTTGTTTCTTGATGGATAAATTAATAACTTTTGGATGGGGATTCGCTCTTGGGATCTCTGCTTTGGAAAATAGTTTTGGATAGCAATGAGCTTTGCCTCTGCTACTATTTCATGTATTATCTTTTTGTAGACACAAAATGATTTAGATGAATGAAAATGTAACATGAGAAGAAACAATAGAAGGTTTAGATAGTAGCCTTTTATTGATGGGTCTGTGCTAGCAGTGCCAACCTTGTGTTAACAACAAATACTCATGCATAAAATCTGCAAGTTGTCACAATATATCTGTTTTCCTATTACTTTTTGGAGCTTTAACTACCGATGATCCGAGTATGATATTCTTCAACTTCATCCTAATATCAATTTGCTCATGGATCTAACATATGATTTGGGTTTGCATTTTTTTTATAGGCAATAGTTACAATTGCAGATGAAAGATGGGAATTATTTGCAAGAAGCTTGGGAACATATTTTGACATGTGTATCATGCTTTGAACATTTGCATCTTTTGGGAGAGGGTGCTCCTCCAGATGCTACGTTTTTTTGCTTTTCCCCAGAATGACTCTGAAAAGGCCGAACAAACTAAGTCAACCATCCTCCCTGTACTGAAAAAGAAGGGACCTGGGAGGATGCAGTAATTCCATCATCTAAGTTAGCCCTGTATTAATAAAATGAGTAGCCAGTTTTGTTTTGTGATCCATGGAAGGAAGATGGCGTCAGGGTAATGAGAGTGGAAAATGTGGATAATCCTTATAAGAACCAACCCAATTTTGATAGGAGATTTAAATTAACATTGACCAAATTCTATGTATGGAAATTGGTGGAATATGAGTGGGTAGTCATGCTTGATGCTGATAATATTTTCCTTAGAAAACCTGATGAGCTGTTCCAATGTGGACGACTCTGTGCAGTCTTCATCAACCCCTACATCTTCCATGCTAGCCTCTTTGTGTTACAGGTAATGTTAATCCACCTCTCTCTCAGTTTTTTAATTTTTATTTTGAAGTTCCATTAATAAAGTATTTATTTTTTACTTATGTTTGACATTATGAATTTGGTATTGCAGCCATCCTTGGAAGTGTTTAAGGACATGCTTCATCAGTTGGAAATTGGGAAAGAAAACCTAGATGGTGCAGACCGAGGTTTTATTAGCGGCTACTTCCTGGACTTGCTTGATATGCCAATGTTCCATCCACCTCTATATAAAATCACAGTCAACAGACTTCCTTTAGGCTATCAAATGGATGCCACTTATTACTGTGAGTCAAACAAGAATTCTCAATTAATCAAATTTTTATGCTTTCAACAACTTCTATCAATACTTCAGCATATATGTACCAATCTCATAGATAATGATGTTAAATCTTGAACATACTAAATTAGTAGATGATATAACCACTACAAGAACAGTCTAAATCCATTTATAGATCATTTAAATTGCTGATGGCTTGCAATCTAGTTTGTAAATATCAATATCTTTATATTTCTAGCCATATTTTATCCGCAGCGAAGCGTGAGTTACAACCTAGTTAAATTTACTAAAACGAACACCAAATTAATTAATTATTTTTTAAAACAAAATGAATTATTTAATTTAATTCGTTTTGTAAATAGGTAGACTAATTTATAATTTACTTGTGTATGTTTGACAAAAGTTTTCTTTATATCTTTGTAAGTAAGCTTTATTTTGGTCTTTAAAGATTTAACAACACATCACTTCTACTCCTAGAGTTTATAATATTTCAATATTACCTCCACGATGTCTAGAATGTTTTCAATTTTACCCTTGATTGGCGAATAACAAACAAAAAGCTGGTCTTTTTCGCCCATAAAGAAGCATATGGGTCTCAAACCTTGACCCCTTGGTGCCAATTGTAACTGTCAAAATAAAGGCAGGGTTTTTCATGCTCTTTGAGGTACAATTTCAGTGTGATGTTAATTGATGACATTATAATGAATTGTCTAAAGTAAGAAATCTCAAATAGTAAGAGGTCTCAATCAAATTAAAAAAATATAAAGAGTCTTGATAAAAAAAAATTCCATTGGACAATCCAGGCGGTCACGTTTTGATCCTTACACAGGACAATCAAACATTTTGGATACTTTCGACTAATAATTTCAATCATATAGCCTTTGTTTAACAATAGTTCAATTTGTACTTATATAAGAAAATGAGTTTTCAATTTGTTATTATATTTTTAATTATATTAATTATATTTTTAAATAAGTTTTAAGTTTTTAATTTATTGTTTCACTTTATTTTTTCAACAATAGATAAAATTTTTTAATTGAAATATTTGTGACCAAAATGTAAAAAAAAAAAAAATACACCCCACTTAAAGTCAAACACGTCTTTCATGTTCTATTTTTAAAGTTTTTAAGTTGTTTTTTTGTTTTAACATTTCAATCAGGAGAAGCTCAGTACAAAAGTTTGCCAATGGTTGAAAAAATTATTTGAAAGAATAGATTTAAGTTTTAAATAATATTTAGAAATATAATAAATACAATTAAAATTATAAATATAGATTCAAAATTCAATCTATTATGTAAAAATAGATTCAACTATTTATGTTAATATTTCAAGATGATTCACTCATCATTATGCATACCCAATTTTGTTTTACCATGCTATCTAGGTTAGACTAGCTCAATACTTTTGCGATGCCACAGGATAAGTCTATTATATATATTATTTTAATATTTTACATAATTTAAAACTATAAGTGTAAAATAAAAACGAATTAACAATCATTGTAAAAAATGTTTAATTTAATATATATAATTGAATTTAAATATATCTTAGGAATATTTTTTATTTTGATAAATTAAAAATACATGCAATTAGAGAGTGGGAGAAATTATAATAACAATGAAAAAAAGAAATGTTGAGATGCCTTATATGAGAACAAAACTCAAAGACAATGGCCAAGATGAGCCATGTGAGTAATACAGAACAATCCAAGCAACCTAACGTGAAAATTAGAGAAACAGTGATTAATTAGGATCCCAACTAGAGAAATCTACGACAAGACACCATCTAAATAAAATCAAACAAAAAAACACACAAACACCCATTCAGCAAGATTGAACTAGAGAGATAAAAAAAAAAATTGAGAGGTAATGAAATCAAAAGTTAAAAAAATTATTTAGAAAAACAATAACAAACCTAGTCCCAAGGTCGATTTATAATTTATTCGGTAGCTCCCACGTCAATCGTCAATCGTACACATTTAAATAATAAAAAAAACAATATGAATTATTGAGTTAAATTAGTATAGTCTGAATGGATAGTTCGGAGTATTTTCTTTTTTCCAAATCAAGAAGGAGCCATTATTGCAGAGGAGGGGATTTTAGCTGGTCTTCAAAGAGAGAGAGAGAAGGGTATTTTTGAAATTAAGTTGAATTTGATGGGGGTGTTAATTAGTCTGGTTTTCCCTCCATAAATTTGAGGGGCCAAGAGAACGAAAAGCAAGCCAAGTGGGCTACAGAAAGCCTCCATGTGGCCCAATCAAGATATATTAAAAAACAATGTTGGTTTAGCGTTTAAAAACAAAAGTTTGCTTAGATGGAAAAATTAAAGTTCATAATCAAGAGATATATATATATATATATATATAAAGGTTGGTTTAGTGTTTAAAAACACTAGCTAAAGTATGATTAAATTATTAATTAGTGTCTCTAGTTTTACAAAATGAATTAAATATTTAAAAAAAAATTTAAAAACTAATTAATTAGTTCATTCAGTTCATTATATATATATATATATATATATTAATTTTGTTTGTTTCCAGAAATAGAAAAATAAATAAATAAATAAATAATATGGAAAGACAAACTAAAATTGGACAGGACTTTGGCCAGAAAAAAAAAAAGAAGCTAGATAGCATAATTTTTAAACCTCTAATTAATACTCACTATTTACTAGTGGTTAGTTTCTTTTCTAACAAAACCGACACTATAAACTAAACACCACAATTAATATTACGAAATAAATATTTATTAGACATCTCAGAAATATATATATATATATATATATATATATATATATATCGAATCAGTTTTCATATCAAATAAAACTAAATCTATCACTTTTCTATATTCTTTATTTTTATATCATAAGTTTAGAATTTATTACTAAAATTATTCATGATACTCATCTTAATTTACGTAAAAAAACAAGAGGAGTATAACTATGTTTTATTAATTTCATGGTAACAATATTTTCAGACTAATTTTTACCTCAATCCAAAGTAAATTTTTTTCTAAATAATTTTAAAAACGCATCAATTACATTAACAGAGATTCTTCAGCATACCAATACTAAAATTTGAACTTAAAAAATTGTATACAGTTTCAAAATTTTGACGTAAAAAATTAAGAAATGCAACGAAGCTTCTTACTGACAATGGCCATGGAAAAGACTGGTTGGAAAAGTAGCTACGCAACATAAATGTTTGGGCATGTGTGAGTGTGTGACCCTCAGACTTATGGTCCCCTTTCATTTGGTTTTTATCTAAATTTGGAAAGGGTAGTCTATAACAAGGATGGGCCCTCATCAGCCAGTTGTAGAAAAACCTCCATCTGCTGCATCGATCTTAAATACGGAGTTTTGCTGGGGATATTGTGCAGATGGAAACAATGAAAATTCAAGTAAAAGAATCAACCATTGTACGTCCTGCCCAAGACACACCAGAAAGAAGCTTATGGGTCTCCAACCTTGACCTTTTGGTGCCAGTTGTATACGTCAAAACAGTATACTTCTACAAACCAATTAATGGCTGTTCAAATTTTTTTGACCCTCGAGTGCTTAAGGAGGCTCTCAGCAAGGTTCTTGTGCCATTCTACCCCATGGCAGGGAGATTGGAGAAGGATGAAAATGGTAGAATGTCGGTGCTGTGTAACGCTAAAGGGGCTCTGTTCGTTGAGGCTGAAACAAGCTCTACTATTGATGATTTGGGTGGTTTTACTCCTTGCTCTGAGATGCTGCAGTTCATTCCTGACAGTGATCCTTCAAGCATATTTTCCAATCCTCTTCTTCTGTTGCAGGTATAACTAATATTTTCCTAACAAAAGCGAGCAACATGTCTTGATATATATTTGAAAAAACTAGCACTCATGATTTATCTGCTTTGAGCTGCTTAGAGTTTTCTAGCATTTCTCAATTATGAATTCCATTTTTGTGTTCTTAATCACTAAAATTTAATTTAAACATTGAAATAAATTAAGTGACAAAGATATTTAATTAAATTAAATGTTTTGACAGTTCATATATATAATAATTAAGTTTCCATGTTTTATTTGACTCCCCCTCTTTTTGTGATTTATGTGTTGCGTGCGTGGGTTACAGGTAACCTTTCTCAAATGTGGAGGAGTATGTCTTGGAGTTGGGTTGCATCACATCTTAGGAGATGGACTTTCTGCTATCAATTTTATAAACTCATGGTCTGAAATAGCTCGGGGCCTATCTCTGACCACCCCACCCTTCATCGATCGTAGCTTGGTTGATGCTAGAATTCCACCTATCCCTACCGTGCATCACGTAGAATATGATCCCCCTCCTACCTTGAACGCCACCTCCGTCGACGGCGGCGAAACTCCGAAAATCAAACCAAGCCCTAAACCTACTTGCGCAAAGATCCTAACCATCACATCTGATCAGCTCCAAAACCTAAAAACCAAGTCTAGAAAAGACGCTGTTGATAGTACTATCAAGTATAGCACGTTTGAAACCCTAGCAGCACATATTTGGAAATGCACGTGCAAAGCACGTGGCATCTCCAAGGACCAAGCAACAAAATTACATATTCCAACAGACGGGCGAGCTAGGTTGAACCCACCATTGCCAGCCGGATACCTTGGCAATGTTCTTTTTACAACAGCAGTTGTAGGTTCATCTGGTGAGATCCAATCAAAACCATTAGTGCACACCATGGAAAAAATCCATGGAGCTCTGAAAAGAATGGACGGAGAATATTTGAGATCAGCCATTGATTATTTGCAAGTGCAGCCTGATTTAGAGGCTCTGAGGCGAGGGCCACACACATTTGGGAGTCCAAATATGAATATTGTGAGTTGGATGACCCTACCGGTATACGATGCTGATTTTGGTTGGGGTCGACCTTTTTTCATGGGGCCAGCGATTGTTGCCTTTGAAGGCATGGGATACGTACTACGAAGTCCAAATAATGACGGGAGCTTGAGGATATTTATTTGCTTAGAAAGCAATCACATGGAACTCTTGGAAAAGTTCTTTTACGATTTCTAATTAGCAACTTTTCTGCTATATGTTTAACTAATTAGTTTGTAATTCCATCCATCTAATAAGGGTTTATTGTATTTTATTGTTTTTTATGATTGTATGGAGAATTTAATGGTTTTATTTTAAGGAATGAATAAATACGTCAATTTATTTTATATAGTAGTTTTTGAGTTTTTAATTAATTTGTTTTTACGTTTTTAATGTATTTATTATGTTTTTGATAATATTTAAATATTTAATTTGTCTTTTTTCATAGATCTTTTGATCGAAATATTCCTGACTGTTATATAAAAAAAAAAACATTTAAAGACTTTAAAAACTAAAACGTACATACCTAGATCATGTGATGACTTAAATAAAATATCCATAAATAAAGTATCGACAAACATGCATACCTAAGATGATGTGACTTTAAATGTCTTTAATTTTTTTTATTGAGATTTTTTATTTTTTCCTTAATTTAATTGAGATCATTTTATTATAATGTCATTAATTATTAATCTATCATGTAGTATTGTATAAGAAAAAATGTTAAAGACTAAAAATGACCGTATTAATTATTAACATTAATTATTAGCATGTGATCTTATAACTGAGTATTTAAAATAAGAAATCTTAAAAAATAAAAGGTTCTAAATAAGAAAAATAAAGGTATTAATTAAAAACTTTGAAGATTGTAAGATTCAAATGTAGAAACGTCAAATCTAGCTCGCCTTGTCATTTGATTATAAGGATTTTGTTGCAGCTAAATCAATGAAGATGGAGACATAGATATACATTGCATCTGGACAATCAGGATGGCCACATTTTGATCCTTAAACTGGACAAAAAACCTCTTGGATACTTTTGACTAGCAATTTCAAACACATTTTGATACTTAACCACTAACCAGGATGAAAAACCTCTTGGATAATTTCGACTAACAATTTCAATCATATAGCCTTTGTTCAATTATAATTCGATTTCTTCTTATATAATGTTATAGATCTTAGATGTGCCCTTACATTTTTAATTGTATTTATTATATTTTTTAATAATATTTAAGTTTTTGATTTGTTTTTTTAATTACTTTTTTTATCATAAACAAAAAAATTTTATCGAAATATCTTTGATTGAAATGAAAAAAAAAAACATTTAAAGTAACATGATTTTCATGTTTTATTTTTCTTAAGCAGGTGTTTTTAAAAAAAAAAAAACTATTTATAATTAGAAAAATTGATGAAAGAATAGATGAAAGACTAAATTATTATTTAAAAACAGAAAAATAGATTAAAAACAAGGTTGTTATATGATGATATATTAAACTATTTATCTTGATATTTCAATATGATTCACTCATGATTATGCATATCCCCGTTTTGTTTTACCGTGCTATCAAGGTTAGATAATCTAGCTTGGCGATGTTTGTAACTTACTTGAGAGGAGTCTCGATTTCTCTTCCCTGTCAAATGCAATGAATACGTTCATTGAAAACTGCACCCATGATCCTATCTAATATCAGTTGAGGGAGTCTCCATATCTGTTACTTTTCCCTTGACATTGTAAAAGTAATAAATAAAGTAAAAAACAAATCTTTGTACTGTAGTTGCGTTTGAATTGGACTTTCATTGGGCCATGGAGGCCTTTTTGTAGCCCACTTGGCTTGCATTTCAAACCCAGTTCTCTTTGCCCCTCAAATTGATGGAGGGAAAACCAAACTAATTAGCACGCCTCCAAATTCAAATTAATTTCAAAAATACCCCTGTCTTTCTCTAAAGGCCAACTAAAATCTCCGGCTTTGCAATAAAGCTCCTTCAGAATGATTATAGCTACTTGGGTAATAGATTAATTTTTTAGTATGTTTTTTAAAAATTATTTTCAATTTATCCTTATATTTTAAATTGGTTTCTAATTTATCGTTTTGATCAAGATTTTTAATCAATTTTTAAAAATTAATCTTTCTATTAATAAAAATAGATCACATGTGACAAATAATAAAAATAATATTGTCAAATTATATACAATGTGCAAATTACATACTTAATTTAATAGGAAATTTTAACTACAATGATAAATTAGAAATCAGTTCAAAATATAAAAATAGATTAAAGATTTTGTTTTATAGAAATAAAGTAAAAAATCGACATATTATATAAGGACATCTTAGCATATCAGCCCTAGATATTTTAATGAGGGTTACCATATTCATGGTTAGAGCTTTTCTAGTAAATTATAAATTATTCTCTCCATTTTTCAAAAACAAATTAATCAATTTCTCTTACTTTAAAAATTAATTATTTAGTCAATTAACTAGTACTAACCACGTTTAATTTAATATTATTTTATTTAAAAATATTATTTTTTCTCATCAATTCTTTTTTTAGCTTTTATATATATTTTAAAACAAAAACCAAAATAAATTTAAAAATAACCAAAAATATTTAATTATAAGAAAATTAAAATATATAGATTTTTCATTCAAACATATATCATGAACTACTTAAATTTTTTTTTCTAATTAGGTTATCATAGATTAACACCTTCATTTTTAGAAAATTAAAAATAACAACCCCATTTTTTTGACGACTAATTGGTTGCTGGAAGTTGCAGAAGACTCTGTTGGCATTGCAATGCTGCCATTGCTAGTGGTCTCACGTGTGACGCAGCAGGTTTTGTCTGTCGCTATTTTTTTTATATATATATATAAATGGTTGGACTGTATAACTATATATATTTTTTATTTCACAATAACAATACCTTCAAACTTACTTTTACATCAATTAAACTAAATTTCTCTTCAGATGATTTTAAAAACACATCCATTACACTCATATAGTTTCTTCTGTATACAAATTTAAACATACTAAACTGGTAAATAGTAGATAATTGTCACAACAAGAGTCTCAATCCACCTATGGATCCTTAGATTATTAATTGAATGCAATTTAATTTGTAAATACTAAATATCTTTACATATTTAACCATACTCGACCCGTAGTGAAGCATATGTTAAAAATGTAGGAAAAAAAAAAAAAACCAACTCACATTACTTTCATATCAGGTAAAAATAGAAGATAAATCACATACATGCATAAAAACTCTTTAAAAATGAGAGGAATTACCAAATCCATGCCTTAAGCGGTTTAGAAAAAGATTTAACTAAGCTGGCTCTCAATTCTCAAAGGGAAAACAAAAGTTTGTTTAGAGGGAAAAAATTAAAGTTCATAATCAAGATATATTAAAAAATATATATATTGTTTTGGTGTTTAAGAGGACTGGCCAAAGTCAGAGTAAATTATAAATTAGTTTCTCTAGCTAGTTTTACAAAATGAATTAAGTAGTTTTTTTTTTTCAATTTTAAAAACTAATTAATTAGTTCATTTGGTACATTTCATTTTTTTTTTAATTTTGTTTGTTTCAAGAAATAGAAAAATAAATAAATAATATGGAAAGATGGAATAAAATTGAATAGGATTTTGGCTAAAAAAATTGGTAGATAGCACAATTTTTGTTCCTCTAATTAATACTCACTAATCGCTAGTGGTTAGATAGCACAATTATTAAACATGTCAAAAACTGTATTCCCTATTTAATACTCACTAATCACTAGTGGTTACAACAAACCTTCTTCTTAACTGACAATGGCCATAGGAAAGACTGGTTGGAAAAGTAGCTACCTAAACTTGAATGCTTCGAAATTTGTGATCATCAGACTTATGACCCTTTCATTTGTTTTTTCCTTCTAAATTTAGAAACGGGAAAGAAAATATGTTAATCATTTTGTCTATAACAAGGATGAATCTTCATCAGCCAGTTGCAGAAAACCCTCCATCTGCTGCATCTTAAGTAAGGATTTTTTGTGTGAGTATTGTGCAGATAGGATCAACCATTGTACGTCTTGCCTAAGACACACCAGAAAGGAGCTTAGGGCTCTCTCAAACCTACGAGAATCTTCATAAGGCCTAAGTGATATTTTGGTTCATGAAATGATTTAGGAGAAATTTTATAATACATCAAGAGTAACTAGTGTCATGTACAATAGTTACTCTATAGGCTTACTTTGAAGAGAAAGATAGACACATAAAAAATAGTGAAATTACATCCATACACATAAAAAATGATAAGAAAATTTTCACATTTGCTCAAATTTTTTATTCTCTCTCTCTCTTTTTGTGTCTATCTCTCTCTTCAAAGTGGACTCATCAATTAATTACTACACATGTCATTAGTTACTCCTAGTGTATTATAAAATTACTCATGATTTAGAGCCCTTCATTCAGTTACCTAGATGAGAAGTCCAAACTTAGAAAATTATATGAATAAAACAACGTAGTTTTATTTCTTTGTAGAGTGAAATAATGTTATTTTACTTTTAAAAAAATGATCTTTTACAAATTATATACATTATTTTTTACATTGTAGTCATTTGAGTTCTAATATACACGAAATAGTTCTCAAAATTCATTTGCGTTATAACAAAATAGGTTTTTTTTAAGGGTTTGTTGAGAGAGATAAAAGAAGGTAAGAAAGAAAGAAGTTTTTAATTTGTTGGGTTTTTAAGATATATTGGGATGTATTTTGAAATTCAAAATAGATTTTCTCACATCTTTAAAAATGACGAGATATATATATATATATATATATATATACACACGGCTAGGCTGCAATTCCAATCTAAATGTTTTATTTATTTTTATTTTCTTGTAACTTAATTTTTTTGTTTTAAGAAATAAATAAAAAATATGAAAAATGGATTAAAAAATGACATTTTAAAAATAAAGTAATATTAAATTAAGAGCGATCAACAATGGTAAAGGAATTAAAAAATTTTGAAACAAAAGGGAGACTAATTATTTTTTTCAAAACAAATCAGGACTAATTTATAATTTACTCGAAACTAAAGGGAACATTATGCCCGGGCCAAGCCCGGGCCAGAGATGCACTGAAAGACAGGAAAGATAGCAGGAAAAATACAGCCCAACCCACTTAAGCATCTAGTGGATTTGAGAGAGAGAAACTGGCTGTAA